AGCCGGTGAGATGCGTTGCGCTCCTCCTCCTCTCTCTCTCTTTGAACACCTTCATTTCTTCTTTTCCCTCTCATTATTCTTCTTACTCTCTCTCTCTCTCTCTCTCTTCTTTTCGCCTCTACTACATCTTCATCATCAACATCATCTTGTTGTTCTACTAATTCTTCCTCATCTCTTTCTTCCCCTTCCTCTGTCCTTTCTCTCTCTCTCTCTCTCTTTCTTCCCTCTGACTACTTTGATAATCCCTGTTCTCCTTCTCCAATTTGAAGAAGCTTCTTTTCTTCTCTTGTGAACATTCTTCTAACTTCGTTAACAACTTTTCTTGGAACTGAACATGTGTGGTGCCTTAAAGAAAATCCTTCTCTCATCTCCCATCTTTGAATTATAATTTTGAAAGAAAAAAATTACAAGGTTTCACTGCAGAGCTCTCCTGAAGAGTTGTACCATATTTTGCCTTGTATCACTCTTCTCATTATGTTGATGTATCTTTTCTTTTTCATTCTCCCTAACTCTTATTCAATTAATAGATTTGAAGTGTGTATTAGTCATAGTGGGAGTTGCAATGTAATTTAATACAGGCTGCCAACATATGGTATATCAATAACATGAATAATGATTGGAATCAAATGGGGGACATGAAAAGAGTAATGACTAACTTGTTACTTTCCTTGATCCACTTCATATTTCAGTAGGCACAATACAGAACAGAATTTCATAACTTGCAAAAGAGCAGAATATATTATTCATCTTCTCAAAAGCAGTGGAGGACTCGAAAATCATTTGCAGTGCACATTAGTTTCACAATTTAACCATTCAGATGAGGTAGACAGTGTCTACTCAATGTAAGAAAATACAAGAAAAATATTAATATAATTTGTCCCTTACTTTTATAAAGCATATTCTTAAAAGATTTCAAAGCTGACAGGAAGTTATCCCACTCAGTCAGCAACCTAAAAGTATGAAATGATGAAACTTGCTCAAAAAGTCTCAGAGTAAACAGATCCCAATTAATCTTCTCAGGCTTAATTTCCATAGGGAAATTCTTCACACACACACAAATCACTGCAAAAACCTGAGTGAGGAGCTGTCTTGTGACCAAAAGATCTCACTTCAATCAGTGGGAAGATGTGCCTTTCTCTGCTGTGTAATGCTTTAGTACTCTGTAATTTGTTACTATACTTGAATTTTTAGCTAGCATTCTATGACTCTTCTATGATTTTTTTTTTTTTTTAAGAAAAACATGTATTTGTAATCAATTAATAATTTTGAAAGGGAACACCACTATGAAAAATCTACTGCCTTAGCACTACTATTTACCCATTTCATTTTTGTCCTGATACTCTCCTGCATCAATTTATTTTTCTTCTGATACGCCATTCTGGCTTACGCTCACTGGAACATCCTGGGTTAATTATTGATTGAAAAGAGTCTTTGGGAGCATTCTAATGAAAAAGTAGAATACTTTTAATCATTTTTTTGAATGAAAAGACATTTATATAATAAAAAATTCACTTCATAAAAGGCTAAACCAGACATTTTAGTGATATAGCAATACATTTATTTATATTCTAATAATCATAAAATTACTATTCATAGGGTGGGATTCACATAATAATTGATTCCATTAAATGAATACTCCTTTTTTCATTTACCTAGTGTTTTTACTATTCACTTCTTAAGTTATTAAAATTATTACAAGTAGTGTTTTAATGCAATACATTCATCATCACTTGCAATATGTGTATTTGTAGTAACAACTATTTAAATTGTTTTGGCAGTGTTGTCAGCAAATGCCCAGTACATCAGGCATTGACCAGAGGCGTCGCCCAGTCAGTCAACCTATTAAGTTTGGCCCTTGTGATCCTGTGTCATCAGAGATTCATTGTCATCACCTACCAGAAATTTCTGAATTCAATGCTCAAAGCAATCAGTATGCATCAAGCAGCAGTGAGTACCAACCAAGTACAAAAAATTTCTCTGATTTTAAAACAAGTAAATTTCCCATCTAATTCTTATAAAATAATTGTACATGAAATTTTTATTTTATATTCTGTTTCCTCTTAAATAAGAATTGTGGATGATCAGTAATAGTAAAACATAACAACAAGTTACTGAGAATTCTTCTGAATTACAGAGTTCATTCTTCTATAGTGATACCACATTTTAAAAGCACATGTGCTTCCATCTTCAAGTACATTTAAAGCTAAAAGAGTGAATATCATTATAGCATAGAATGTATAAGTAAAAACTAAAAGTTTATATTGTTATGTTCCATGTTAGAAACATTCCTGGAGATGGAAGCACATTTGCTTTCGAAAGGAATAAACACTGCAGAACAATAAAACTGCACAATAACTTGTTATGTTATGATTTACTATTATAGATCATCCATAGTTCATCTCAATTGTCTGTAATTTAAAGGAAATTTCACATAAAATAAAAATGTACAGTCTGTTGTGACCTCAGTCTGCAGAGGAAGCGTTTTAATGCAATATAAGTGCTTGTATGCAGTATAAGTGTTTGTATGCAGTCTAAGTGCTCTGCAGAGGAAGTAATGACATATTTATCTATCACAAGAAACACCTTGATGCATTGCATTAATCATCATTTTTGCATTAAACTTTTTTGAAAAAGTATAGAAAAATATGAAAATCATATCATTTAATGACAAAATAGCATATAAGTATTCTTTTACATTTTATTTACTTGGTATCAGTTCATTAAATTTTACCACACACATTGCCATCTTAAATTTCTTTTGCTACACATTAATCCCAAAATTCAAAGTTCAAAAATAAAAATTTTTTGAATGAATTTGTCACATTCTTGTGTGTTTTAGTTGCAATAGCTGCCATTTTTTCCACATTTTTACACTAGCGCATTTTTAACAAAATTAAATTTTTAGCCTATTAAGCAGTAGTTTATGTACTTTTTAAAATGGTTATCAAACTGATAAGTAGTGAGTGTCAAGGGTATTGGAATACCAATATGATGGTATGTTACTCTCAACTGGAAAGTGTAGAAAAATTGAGAAAAAGAAAGGAAATACATCCAAATTACCTCATAGTCTATGTAATAAAAAGTTATTTTCATGTTATTGCTTCAGAAATGCTATTCCAATTTTTTTGCGTTCCTATTATATGTTTTGCTTATTTTCTAGCTTAAAAAATAGTCACATTGTTCCCAAACTGTGGGTCACTAAAAAAACTGAAATCAGATACGTGTTTTAAAAAGTCAGCTATTAACATTCTAAAAGATTTGAAAAAGATTTGTTGTCCTATTTTAAATGAGAAAATAATTTTTTGAACTATAGAGATAAAATAATTGGATTTTAAAGTTGAGTTGAAGAGGAATTATTTTAAATGGAACAGAAGTTATTATTTAAAAAATTATTATCTTGCACAGCATACTTTCTTCAAGTTTGAGAAATATGTCCTTTCAAAATTAATAAAAATATTTACTTCTGTGTAAATGGGTTTACATTAGTTCACTCATTAAGACATCATAAATTGGTAATATGTTTATTTGTGTAAATTAATTTGTTGTATTTATTAAATTTCATTGATATATAGCATTTATATTTTTAGTAATATGTAAATTTTTTCATTAATTTTTTTCTTGATGGATTTTCACATCACTTTTCTTTTTTTTAAAAAAAGGAGTTTTATTTTATTTCACCTTTTTAGTTTATCACTTGGAGCTAACATCACACAGTTTCTTATCTTCTTACAGTTCTTGATGAGGTGGGGACTAGGGGGACAGAACCTACCCCTGGTCCAGCAACTTTAAAAACTCGAAGTCTCCCTGCATGGGTGAGGTCACGATCACGGCCTCTTTCAACAGAAGATGATCTTGCAGAGTTATATGCAAAGGTGTGTTAAAAAAGTGCTATTAGAGGTAAATAATGATTTTGAGATGGTGTACTTATTTTTGAAATCTCTTTCCACAGGTAAATTTTAGTAAAAAAAGAAAAAATCGCATGAGAAATGATGAAGCAGCCATAATTGCCTTGAGTAAATCCCGCAGTCAGTATTTACATAAAGACACCGATTCCCTAGTCAACAATGAAGCAGTGATTGTGTATGATGAACGGACTGCTTTATGAATCTGTTGGACTTATTGCTAAAGTTTTCCTTAAATGACTGAACATTCCATTGAATATAAGAAGAAAAAGGCACCAAATCATTTTCTTTCAACAATAGGAATTGCTAATTAGTACCATAAAAATCCTAATGGAATATTATGGTTCCCAGTAGCCCAGATTTTCTTTCAGTCTTAGCTGCAGAATTCCTAAGATTGTTAAAAAGAGATCTGTGATACAGAGTTCAATCCAGCAAATAAACAATCTGAAATACATTCTTTTTAACCTGATTGTGGTTATGAATGAACAGGCAAGTCTCCATTAGATTATTTCAGTGTTGTTATTTTTCATTTGATGTGTTTCTGTTTGAGAAGCAATCATACCGTCCTGCTTCTCTATAAGGGTACAGCAGAGACAAATATTGTGAAATGATCGTAACACATCTTATATTAAGATAATGTTAATATATAGTTCAAGAATTTCAATATTAATTGAATAATTTATTCTTCCTGTTCTAGTCACTCCTTATAATATATAATTCCACAGATCTGTATATACATGTGCACAAAGTATGATTGCAAAAGAGTAATATGTAATGCTATATTTTGTAATTAAAGAGACGCCTGAATGTTTTTGAATTCACAGGCCTACATGAAATACTTTCTACTGTAATTTATTCTGTAAGTATAAGGGCAGAATAGTTTTTAATATATATGCAGAAGTATACTGACAGAATGTGGTAGAATAGAGACATCCAAACCTCTCTGTAAAATTGAATAGACAAGAAAACAATGAAGCACAAATGCCCTGACCAAAACAACATCAAAAGGGTATTGAGATATCAGCTTTATAGGTGATTATATCTGCTAAACTTACAAGGGAATGATCAAAGGCATCATGTAGAAACATGCCCTGATTCTTTTTTTTTAGCAATGTGAATTAAATGTGAAGGAAAGAGCGCAAAAAATTTCAGCAGCTCATATGCGCAAGCAGTATATTTATATTATAAATTTACTTTATAGAGGAGTAGCTGGAAAACAGTAGGCTACATTCCTAGAAATAACAGCAACCTAACATCACTCACCTCAAACTTTTATTCCTCAAAGATGAAATTCCTCTGTGGCTGACGTCTACACCAAAAAACTGTGCAAACAGAAGCAAGTAGTTCAGAAGATTGGAGTTGCTATGCTTAAATTGTTCAAAAATCTTATGTTTATTATAATTTTATTAAATTTTTGTTAGGTTTCAGAGTACTGAAATGAGAGTCTGATAAAGAGAAAAAAAGAGTTTGCTATTTCAATTCATCACTATTATTATCACAATTATTTTAGTTATTTTCGCTATAGTTACTTTTTGAACTTTGCAGTTCTATCTGTATTTGTATTCTATGTGGAATATTATAATATACTATACGAATATAATATAATAATTATTATATAATATATAATTATAATATAATAATTATTATTAATTAATAATTATAATATAATATACTAATATGGAATCATATAAATGATTAAACCTTGCTTTCACACACTGTGAAAAGGGTGACATAGTTGTCCATATAATGTAATTTGCAACATGATTAATGCATTGTTGTTGATTTCTTTGATAATCAAAAATAAAAACAAATAATAGAATTTCTGGAAGTAATAATAAGTATTCCATCTTCCTAGTCCACAAGGTCAATTTTGCTGTAGTTTTATAAGAAACCAACTCTCAGGAGATGGCTGTAGAACCATGTGCCACTCTTACATAGCACTAAGAACTAGGGCTGTACAAACGCATGATTTAATATGTTTCGTGTAGCAATAAACAATGATTTGGGGGAATTTTTAAAAAATACTTCCAGTACAGATAATACAGATGAGTCACTGAAATTTTGTGTGCGCACCTTCCCTTATATATATACATAAGGTAAAAAAGTTCAGGGCATGCTTGGACTTGTCTCTGATCACTCCCTTGTCGCAGAAGTTTTTATTGCCTTATACAAGCAAATACATTGTTTTTCTCAATGCCCTGGAGAGTTTTAACATATCAGGGGCTGGTAGCAATTATCAGTAAGTTGCCAAGAAACTTTCATTTAGGTGAGACTGTTGTCAGTGATAGAACAGCAGATTTAGTATTAAAACAGGAATAACTGGCTATTGAAGTCTGGGTACATACTTAAAGACACTGAAGAATCAAGGGACGGGTCCTCACTTTTGTATGCTAATCTGATGTGAATAAGATGGGGAATTATTAAGTAATATTTAATGGTTATTTTTGTGTTCCAGTTTGTAATATGGCAATAATATTTCTTAAGACATGCTCCTGGTGGCTCAACTATAATGTATAATTTAGAATGCCAATTACACAGTAGTCATATAGCACTGTTTTAGGGTTGTGAGTAACATGTGATTTGCTGTTATATACTTGTAATTTGGTCCACGAGTTTTTTTTCCTTCTCTAAAATATGACTCTGAAAACATAATTTGCAGTTTGTATTGTGAAAATCCAAAGTGTGTTGAAGTGTACTATTGGCCTAAAATATGTGGTATATTTAAGTAATATTTTTGACATAAGAATGAGTTTATATCTTTCAGTGCCTCTCTTTGTGACTGCTGTGTTCAGAAATAGTAATTATTTTTGTTCATTATCTGGAGATTTTCCACAGAAAGGCAGTTGTAATACAGACTAATTATTATTCAAAGGGAATTGTATTTATTATTTCTTGATAACAGTGGCCTGATAATGATAATAATTACCATACTGCACCAATGATCTGATAAAAGAAATTCATAAACTCACAAATGAATTCCTTTTGAGGAAAGTAATTATTTTATTGATCCTGACTGTGATGACCTATGTACGGAATGAAAACAATTAAGCAGTCTTTTTTTTTCAGCTGAGCATTAAATGATTTGGCCTTAAAATGAATTGAGAACAGAAAACACAGATAAAAAGATGCAAATATAAATATTTCATAATATTTACTATAAAATACCTACAATACTGAAATAAAACATATTTCTGAACACATTTCAGATTGAAATTTGTTCTGAATGCTTAGAATAAATGTTAAATGTGATATATTTATTGTGGTATATGTGTGGTATGTATTTCTTTCCTTTCATTTCTATCCATTAAGAAGTTGATTTATTGATAAACAATAGGCCCTTCTTACTTCAAGAGATGTCTTACAGAGTTCTTCTGGAAGACATTTGTGCAAAGTCAGTCTTATACATTATATATTTTAAACTTATTCTAGGAAAATGATATTTTTTACTATTAATAAGTACTAACTATTAATATTTTTCCATAATGAATGTGATATAACCAGCATTCAAATACAATTCAAGGTAATTTCTGGCTTGAGGCCCTTACAACCCTTCCACCAAGTGAGGCTTCATTAGATTAGCAATATAATGCTCAAGTGTTAAGAATTATTCAAACCAACAGGGTATACAACATTTCAAGCATACTTAAAATAGCGTTGCTGTTTCAATTAATTACAAACAATCTTTGTCAAGGTTTATTTTCACAACCTTTATTTTTAAATTTTAAAGGGTAAAATAATTTCTTTTCTTTAAAATTTGTTTTGATGAAGTATACTGGAATAAAAATGCTGTCATTTAGAAATTAAAATTGGGAATGAAATGCTATTCTTCCTCAACTTGACATGAGATTAAGTTATTTTAAAAACAAAAATGACTGCTATGACAGATATAAATTAACAAATGAATAAAAGAAATGGAGACTATGAAATAAAAACACAAAATAAATTTTGCAGAAAGAACTACCAGAAATGTTTAAAATAGATAAGGAGACTTTGGTGATATCATGCCTCAATTACAATTATGTGGAGGTTTTAGTATCAGTCACAAAGAGGAAAGTATTAATAAGAACAGAAAAATGTAAGAATTCAAAAGAAGAGAATATCAAAAGATAGGGCTCTACTGCTATGAGTCGGCTGTATTCAGAAAGTAACTGTCAATGACAATGTAAGATGATTAGAACAAACCTGTTTGACAAAACAATACAATATAGTGAGAAACAATGGGAGTATAGGATATATATAGGGAGTATTGGTAGAAAATTAAAAGTATTTAAAGTTAACAACTGATGCTTTAGTCTAACTGATGATGATATAGTTCCAAGTTAGTATTTACAAGTAAATAGAGGTTTAGACTCATCAATAGATGTTTTAACATTATTACATTCTCAGTTATGTTTGAACTATTTGAACAATATATATTTTAATGGAATTAAATCTGTGCCATGAAGATAGATGCAAGTGGAACACCAGCTTTTCGGGGGTCGGGAATAGAATTTCGAGTAAGTTTTGAATAGGATAAGATGTTTGACAAGATTTTTTATAGAACAAGGCAAGATGACACTGGTAATGAACACTAAAAGAGAAATAGTGAACAGGATGGAAGTTGATATAGTTAAAATGAGTGCTATTTACAGTTATGCTAAAAATTTGAGAGAAACTATATTACGGCTAATGTCTTGGCTTTCATTTCTTTCATAATTTCTAAATGGATCAATGACTTGAAAGATTATATGACACTATTTTTCAAGAATCTGAGTCTCGTCAGAGATAAGCTGGCCGGATGTACAATATCAAGCAATATTCCAAGCGATATTAGAGGCAACAGTTATTAGTTTTGCAATTAATAAATTCCAGTGGCATGGTAATTAATAAATTCTAATGTCAAGAATTTGAAGGAAAGTGCAGAAAATATCAATATTTGTGTTCCAAGTGCAAGTATTTTTGTGAAAATTGCTTTCCTAAGAGCACATTTCAGTTCTCTGTCAGGGGTGCCTAAGCAATGATACCTAATGTCTCCTTAAAGAAAATGTATTAAAACAATATATTGTTTACACTTTCAGCAAAAGTTTAAAAATGAACCATTTTCATTAGAAAGTTAAGTTTCATAAGAAAGTTAGAAAGTTAAATAATTTTGCACAATTTGCGAAAATACTAAATTTCACTAGTGATTTTACACACTGTTATGATATTTAATTTATTTATATTTTCTCCATATTTATTTGTAACAGATTCACTCCAAATATCTTATAAATAATATGCATTCATTTAAAATACAATTACCATGGTTTTCCATAGAAATAAAAAGAAGTCCCTGGGTCTCACACACCCAGTGCGAGCATTCCTGTTAGGAATCTCGGCACGAGCTCTGCCGAGCTACTACAGAGGTAGTTGCTGTTTGCCGAACGACTTTGTTGGCAGCATTAGGACCTGGTTAGAACTGTTTCGGTTAGCTCAAAGAGTGCCTTTGGGAAGCTCCATTTCACAATTTAAGAATTCATCACACATTCCAGTTGCCCCGATGTCCTGAGTTTTCAAAATCCCCCGTAGAGTTGCCGGGTGATGGTGCGAGCTGACGTGCAGGTAGCGAATGGGAATGGGTCGGATTCTTCTATAGACAGCAGATAGCCGGTCGGCAGCTGTTTTCACACAGAATGTGGAGCTCCAGTCATGACATATTCACCGGATTTTTTCCTCTCTCAAATTCTAATAGAACAGAGATTCTTTACTTCATATACTCTAATAGAACAGAGTCTTTACTTTATAATGTAAACCGGGGAAGCTTTGGGCCACTTAAGGAAAATTTTAGTAAATAACTTGTTTATTTGTTACGTAATAACGAAAGTTATAACAGTGTACGGAATTTAAAAACACGCCTTGTCTATTTTATGTGGGGATAATTATTGAAATAAATGTCATTGAACAAAAACTGATACCTACACTTCGCGTAAAGTCACCTCGTAGTCTGAGGTGGCTATATGCCATTACATTTATTACGCGTCGATCAATGCTGCACGATGCGTGGCACAGTTTCACCCCTTATTCCCTATCGCTTTGTAGTAAGAAATTAATTAATCAGTATTACAAATTTAAAACTTTATTTAAAGTGTTTTTAAGTATATTAACTAAACATTGACATTAGTTATGATAACAGAAAGCGTATAATTTCCCCCAAGTGCTTTTTAGTGTTGAAATAACGTAGAGTTCTCTTTTTTGATTTCAACTCAAGGCTTTGAATTTTCCGGATTATATCTTCATATTTGTATTCTGCGGCCAATTCCAAAACCCCTAGAATTTCAACATAGTATTTACCCGTGTCGAATCACTTTCAATGGCAGTAACTTGTTCAGGAAACAGCTTTCCTTCATTCTGCACCATTACAAATTCTCCTATATTGATTGAGAAGTTAATGAATTCCGAGTGCTATTACTGGAGGAATCATCACTGCATTAATTGTAAATCATACAATTACCCATTTCAACGAGAAACTGAAGTGTAAACCTATAATTTAATTAAAAGAAACGTGTCAAAAATGACAATATGGCATTGATACTCAAGAGTTACTAGTATAAGTCACCCCTTCATTTTCCATCAGTTTTTTTCTCCCCCTCTCCCTCTTTCACCCCCTTCTCTATCTCTCTCTCTTTCCCTCTCACCAATTGATGTAAAATTAAGAACTAAAAATACGGGAACACAGTCATGAGAATGTAGTACCTAATGAGGCAATCGACAGCACCACTCCTCAGGTACATTATGTGTCTAGCAACGCCTCTAGTAGAGACACCACATGGTTTTTAAGGCAATAACTTTCTAAAAGGAGCCGTGATACAAAATCATCTACGCGGCACGAAGTGACGTCGATTTACGGTACTTGAACCAATATTCAATGAAACTTCTAAAATCGCAGGCGATTTCTTGATCTTTCTCATATCATTCAATGCGACAGGAGTGGGGGATTCGCGTATTATCATAACAATTTTGAAGCTTGTTTGTCGAAGCAAATAGTGAAGTAATAAAAAAACGGGAGAGAAAACTTGTCATCAAATGTCAGAATCGCTTATATAATACAAGTACTATATTATTAGTATTTTAATACAAGCCCAATAGATTGAGCAGATTTTGCTGCTTGAAACCACTATTAATAATAATACAACTTCTTTAACTTTTAAAGGAAAGGAAATGTTCGAAATGATACATCATTAGGGGGGACCCTAGACGAAGTATCTCAGAATGGAAAGTAGAATCACTGCCTTAATCATGATGGAAGGCGGCAGAGCACATCTTGTGAATGATGGTCACTGGATGCCTAAACCTCTGGCTCTCTCAATAGCTCCTCAACCTTCCAGAATTGCCAGTGGATCCCCATTTCTATTTTTTAAATTTTCACTTCATGTATGTACCCAAATGAGATTTCAAATATTATTTTAGTTGACCCTACTCCAACTTGGTTAATAAAATAAGGTATGATAACAATAAATACCGGTTTAACATATCGCACCACTTAAAAAAAAACCTTTAAAAATCAAGTATTTAATACACAATATTCTACGTACATTTTTCATACTAGATTCGATTATATTATTCTATTATACATCACATTAATTTTTTTCGGAAAGAAATTAATTCGCAATTGGAATTAAAAATGACCAAAAAACTTATTTCGAAGGAAATCTGTTTATAAATACAGAATACAATTATATCTGAAAAAATCTAAGCAGAATGGCATTTAAATGTAAAAAGCTTGTTTTTTATCGTGTAGGAGGGGGAGGATTTGAGCCCGAATGGAATTTTTGTTATTTTTGATCAGAGTCATTGTTAGAAAGGTTTTATCTTATTTCGTTAGGGGACACTTTTTAACATCTTTTCAGGGTAGACTCGGAGTCGTTTCACTGAGGAATCTTTAAGTAAGCCTGTCTCGAATTCATTTGTCAAACAATCACAATGAACATGGATATCACGTGTGTCTACTCTTTTTCTTCATTGCATGAAAGTTCCATGTAAATGAAAGTTACGAATTAGTATGCAAATATGGGTGAAATTGCGGAATCATCCGACGTTTTCCCACCTATAACTGATCTCAAATCTTTTCTAGAAAAATCAAAAGGTGAATTCGAGCAAAGATATCACATAAAGGCATCTGCCGACATTACCTTGGCAAGTTTCGACAAAATAAGAGCTCTTGGGGCTGGATCTTTTGGAACTGTAGTGTTGGTGAAATACAAGAAAACTGGCCATTTTTATGCAATTAAGGTAATGGAAAAAGCAAAAGTTATGAAACTAAAGCAAGTGGACCATACACTCAATGAAAAAAGAATCTTGCAGGCAATAAGATTTCCCTTTGTTGTATGGATGGATTTCTGTTTTAAAGATAACGCAAACATATATTTTGCTATGCCGTTTATCTGCGGTGGAGAAATGTTCAATCATCTTCGCAAAATGGGGAAATTTGATGAAAATCTCTCGAAATTTTATGGTGCTCAAGTAGTTTTAGCTCTCGAGTATTTACATTACCTAGATGTATTATACCGTGATTTGAAACCAGAAAATATTATGATTGACAAAACTGGATACTTGAAAGTGACAGACATGGGATTTTGCAAGATAGTCAAAGGCCGAACATGGACTTTGTGTGGCACACCAGAATATATCGCCCCGGAAATTTTACTTAGTAAAGGATATGGTCCCGCAGTTGACTGGTGGTCTTTTGGAGTGTTGATATATGAAATGTCTGCTGGGCATCCACCATTTTACTCCCGTGATCCGATGAAGATATATGAAAAAATCGTAGCTTGCAAGTATCATTTTGCAACTCACTTTAGTTATGAACTGAAAGATCTGATTTACAATATTTTGCAAGTGGATCTGACCCGAAGGTACGGAAATTTAAAAAATGGAGTCGAAGACATTAGAAGACATAAATGGTTTAAGTACATAGATTGGCTAGCAATTGTGAACCGGAAAGTTAAACCGCCCTTTGTTCCAAAAGTTAAAAGTGCAGGAGATACAAGTAATTTTGACCCATTCGATGAAAAACCACTGCCAGTTTCCAACAAGAACTTGTATGAACAAGAATTCAAAGACTTCTGATTTCATAGTAGGTGTAGAACTAAACATTCAATTGATATGCATTAATTTTATGAATTAGTGTTTTAATAGTAATATTTCGACCATTTTTATTTTTTAAATTTGCTAATTGCTACGATGTTTTAACTTATCGCTGGTTGTGAAGTTCTTCGCGTGTTGAAACAAACGTTTCTTTCTTGTTTCACGCAATGGAGGTCAATAATGAAACAGAAATATGCCTCCGAAGAGGCGAAGTCGCAAAGAAGAATCTGACAGTTTCCCCCTCATTAACGATTATAAAACATTTCTCGACAGAGCAAGAGAAGAGTTTCAAGCCAAGTTTACAATGAATACGTTGTCATCAGTGACCTTGGATGATTTTGAACGCCTCAAGACTCTCGGAACGGGTGCTTTTGGACGCGTCTTTCTCGTACGAAACAAGAGACAGGGTACTTACCATGCCCTGAAAGTTTTGGATAAGGGTCAAATCTACAAAATGAAGCAAATAGAACATACTTTAAACGAGAAAAGGATATTATTGACCATAAGATTCCCCTTTATTATATGGATGGACTTTTTCTTCAAGGACAATAGTAACTTGTACTTCGCTATGCCGTTTGTTAGTGGTGGTGAAATGTTTACGCACTTACGAAAATTTGGAAAATTTCCAGAAGAACAAGCAAAATTCTATGCGTCGCAAGTTGTGTTGGGGTTAGAATTTCTACATAATGTAGATGTTGTGTATAGAGATCTGAAACCTGAAAACATTTTGATTGACAAAACCGGTTACTTAAAGATCACCGACATGGGCTTCTGCAAAGTGGTGAAAGGAAGAACTTGGACTTTATGTGGAACACCAGAATACATAGCACCGGAGATTATATTAAGTAAAGGTTATGGGAAGCCTGTTGACTGGTGGTCATTTGGAGTGCTGATTTATGAAATGGCAGCTGGTTACCCTCCATTTTACTCTCCTGATCCCATGAAAATTTATGAGAAAATTGTTTCTGGAAAATATCGCAATGCAGGACACTTTAGTCCGGATATTAAAGACATGATTGCTCATTTGTTGACAGTAGATCTTAGCAGGAGATATGGCAATTTGAGGGGCGGTCCAGATGACATAAAGCAACATAAATGGTTCAGAACATTAGATTTTTTGAGTATTGTAAATAGGAAAGTCGAACCACCGTTTGTACCAAAAACCAAAAGCCCCACAGACACAAGTAATTTTGAGAATTACGAAGAACTTCCGATAGAGGTAGCCAGTGTAGAACAACTTCCAAAAGAGTTTAGTGAATTTTGACTTACGTTTGTAGAACAATCTAATGTGACCTTTTCTAGTTTTTAAGTTTATCGTTTGTCACATTTAATTTGAAAATAAAGAGCAACTATTTTATTGCTTAAGAATCAATTAAAACATCAAATTATTATAGCTGTAGAAGAATGTTTTCTCTAGCAAATTTCAATACCCGTGTGAAATGATAAAAATATTAATAGTACTTCCAAAGCCATTAAAATAATGAAAAGTAAATTTATATTGCTAACACTAATAACGTCTTTTGAATTGCAGCTGCTAGATGCTCTGCAATAGCGTGAGAATTATTATTACAGTTACAAAGTTTCACGTAAGCATAATGATCCATTTTATTTATAAAACTTTTTTTACATGCATTTTTATTTGTGTTCCATTTCGGATGGTTTCAGAAATAGGGTTTTAAATAATAGTTACGAAATATAAGAAATAATACATTCAGGGATAGATGTAAGACAGTCAAATTAGCTAGCTATCCCGAAAGTCGACGATCTTTATTAGAAATCAGTAAGTTTCTTATGATTAATGCTATTTATTTAGAATATTAAATAATAAAGTGCATTTGTAAGAACATTGAAACGGTTTGGAGAGGAAATGATTTGGCATAACTATTATTTCTATAATTACATACTTTAAAATAAATTGATATCGAAATAGTTCTTTGCCACCAAGTTTAATCTGCCTGACAGGAAACGATTCATGAAACTTAATATTGCGATTGTTCATTAGGCCAATTTTTAATAAGACATGAGCAAGAAACAAGTATGGCTCACTTCAGTGTGTAACAAACTTACACATTTCGCCATTGTTCGTAAATCTATTTCATCGTACGTTCCTGGCATTTCTCACGCCAGAGAATTATTCGGTTAAATTGTCTGAACTTGGAGCAGAGCGCCGCAAACATCACCTTAAATGGGAAAACAGATAACATTTTGGCAGCGTTCCAATAGCGTGAACATTTCGTCCTCACAAGTATGAACTATTTTGAGTATTTTTGCCAGAGTATGCTTTTTAAAGGCATTTGCATTCGTCGCAATCTAATTTAACGGTTTTAATGTGAGTAAAGTACCACGAGAAAAAGCAATTTTGAATTGGGACTGCAGTTTTTAAAATTAAGGGAACCGAATTTAACGTGAGAGGGTTTTGAAAGACATGATTCAAAAAAGGTTTCTTGTAATATTGTAATGTATTTGGAGTTTTAGGGTCGAATTAATTCGAAATTTGCCAGCTAGTTGTGTTCCCAGGCCTGGATCATATTTTTATCTATTATCGACGCCTAGGGGTAAGGGAGACATGTGGTGAGCTTGACACATTCCCATTACTCTACCTAGCTTATTTGGCCTTCGTGAGTTATCTTTCGTCACACAGCTATAGAATCTAGGCCGTAAACTCTATTAAGAGAGCTGCAGCTTCATTTTTGCCCCGACCGCCTCGCACTAAGCTACTACGCTGCTAAGGAGCCACCCGAGGGGCTGTTATTGACAAGGCAAATATAAATTAATGAAGTCCTTCAAAAAATGTTCACTATCAATAGTAAATTCCTGCTGATGTTATGTTTCAAGTGACAATCTTGCTATTTTCTTCAAGAGTTCACAATGCACAATTCTTTTTTACTCTGACACGATTCTATAATGAAAAACAAAAAGTAACACAAATTGATGTCTTGAAGGTCTCTATCAAGAACTCACTGTTAACACAAAACACACTTAATCCCGAGCATCTTGGTAAACTATTTAAGTATCAGTTCAAAATTTAAAAAGCGCACTTGATAGTTTGTATGCAGAAAATCAGTTTACCTGCAACATCTACTTTCCGCTTAGTATCTTCTATAGACTCGAGGTTAATGACACATTGAACCTGATAACCCTCTTTTTCAATTCCGGTATTTGTCCATTTTCTATGAGGAAATTCAGCGAAAGGCAGATTGAAGCATGTTTGCATCAGGGTTTCAAAGAATTTTTCTTCCCCAGTGACGCGTATAATTGAACAGGTCTGGGGGTAAAGAGAGTTTAAAGTTGCTTAACAAGCTTCATAAACTATTTGTCAGCATTCAGTTGCAATTTAATTTATTTCTTAACTTTTAATTTTGAATTAATTGCTCAAAATCTCACTGAAATGATGGCCAGTAACTTTCCTCAATCACAAGGTGGTTTGCATTGCTTATAGCCCCACTTTGTGTAAGCACATTGTCCTTCACGACTTTAGAGTCATTGTCTTCCAGCAGAGTATTCTGACTCACAAATCAACTCTGAGATCAATTCGGCCAAGTTTTCAATATAAATGTTTTTAACTGTGCCATGAACGTATAAATAAACTACTTTCTGTAAAAATACACTCTGTAAATAAACTCGTATAAATTACGACACTAACAAAACACTTCAATGTAACAATTAAAGACAACAAATGACCAAACAACGGAGACTAACACACTCTTTTAGCCAGCGTTTCTTAACATTTGTCCTCGTGGAACACTTGATCTCACTCTCGGCTCGGAAGTAAGACACGCCGTAATTTTTACGAAGGGAATATGATGAGAGAATATCACATAGTTTACAACTGAAGGCATTGGGGCTGCGTAATTCTCATGACTCGCATCCAAATAAAGGTCTTAAAAATTCGCCACACAGCATGATCTAAACGGTATAAAATTGCAATGTTAACTGTGTAAATATGTTTATAGATCTACAGTACACGTTTTGAATGTTTCGTCTTTACGCAACAAAATTTATTTTCAATTCAGCGATTGGACAAATGTGTTTATACGCAATGCGTTGAGGGTATTTCATTTTGGACAGTTACCGAATAGAGAAACAGATAACATGTCATAAGTATTTTGTTCCATCATTGTATTGTGGGTACACATTTCGGTCAATAACTTTTGGAAATGAAAAGTAAAACTCTGTGTTAGATAACATATTATCCGCCATTGCGGGTAATACGTTAATTAACATTACGCCATTCCCTCAAATGGGATGCAAAATGAAAATAAAGTGTTTCTGAACATAGCGAAATTCTGACTACACACTGTTGGTGTGGTATCACAAGACAATAGTTAACACATTTCTTTGATTTGTATTTCACCCTTCAACTTGACAATGAGAAATATTCGAGGGATATTTTTTCAATTTCAGTCGGAGTCGTTAGAAGATTTTGAAATTTTGAGGCTGGTTGTTAGTATGTTGTGCTAATTTTCACGGATGTTAAATAAAATGTCTCCGAACGTTAACTGTAACAGTTAAATTTGCCAAAGCAGTCGATGTGGTTCCGCATAAACCACTTTTTGAGAATCATTTTAGCTCGAGAATTGATACTCCTTTAGTGGCATGAATTAAAGCAAGGATTCCCAATCTCTTTCATTCATCTCTGAAGAGAATTGTGGCTGCATAGACCCCTACGTTATTCTCTATAATACATAATTCATAATCGTAACACACAGAATTGCACAAAAATATATTTAGGATAAAACTTTAGTACACCAGTATTTTGGAAAATATGTAGATTTTCAATAATCTTAGACGCTTCCGCATATGAGTAGCGTCTAATATTATGTTGTGCATTGGTTACTAAATATTTAGCATTTTTTAACTGGGCATAACATTCCTCCTGAGCATACAGAAGGGAGTATTTTCTTCCGCAACAATGTACCGTTGTGAATAAAAAGTTACAATTTGTTGAGTTTCCTAAACACCTAAGCAGTTGTGTTGCTAGACTCTTGGAGGCGAAGGTACAAAAAGTCGAAATAGGGGCCCGTATGTGCAATAAACCTGAAATTAAGAGTTTGAAATCTTAATTGGTTTAATAATTGAAGGTGCATTGGAGAAAATAAGAAGGAAGTTTGATTTACTTTTGGCCAATATCCGCCTGAAGATCCCTTTTTAAAGGTTTCTTCCTTCGGGGCAATGGTATATACATACACCGATATATAAATATACAAAACCTGTGTGATAATTGTATATTTTATGTATGTTTTTGTACATATTCCATTTGATTTTCGAGTAGAATAGCAGTTGAGCTTTCATTGAATTGGGTACAGGTTTAGCTAGTTATTTTTGTAATTTTTATGTTCGTCCTTCCTTTAATGAATATTGTGAAAATCATTTATGGCTTCGTCATTCTGAAATAATTTTATAAATTAATTTTCAGTGGTACGTAATGAGGGTGACAGAACGGTCTCCGAAATGTCAGTTCTAAAAAATTAAAAATATGCTCTAAAAATTTTGGATGTATTTATTGTAGGTGTCTTAAATTAAATTAGTGGTACTAAAACAGCACGTATTTCTCGCCCGTATTTTCACGCAAAAATAGACGAAATAAACTCAAATTTTCGAAAAACTGTACAAGACATTTCAAAACCAATCTTTAAGGAACAGATTTCATTAAAGGAAAAATCTCAATATTTAATGTTGTAGCTGTAGGTATACTCCGGAAAAATTTGGAACATTTGCAAGTTTCGAAAAATCAGGTTTTTTAACGAACATGAGAACTGCACCATGGCAACTGGTTTTATCCACTTTTTCGTTTCCAGGGCTCTGTAAGTAAAGTTTGCTGCCGAAAATTCGCCGTTTTTTCGCGCATTACATAACTTTCTCTGTTCTTCGGTAGCGGGAAAGTAAAAAGATTGTATTCATTTTATTTGTAATATACATTAAAATGTATGATAATACTGGTCGACAAAATATAACTTTGTGTCTGTTAAATGGAATATAATGTCTGTTTCTTATGGAAAATGGTGCTCTGATTTTAAATTTGTAGAGCATTTATTTGTAACGTGTAAGGTTTGTGTAAGAAGCAATTAAAAAGTACATACTGTTGTTAAGTTGTTAGTTTTCTTACTTTACTTAATATAATAATCTCAATTAACGAGCAATTTTGAACTATTGTTTATTGTATTTCGTTTGAGTATATCCTGTTTAGTGCCCAGAAATAGTCTTCAAACATATTTTCTTTCTATTTTCTCTTACATTTTTTCATTCTTGTAACGTCTTGGTAGAATCGTTCACCGTATTCGTCGCTCGAGATTTTCAGGAAAGAAGTCTGAAGTTGAATTCAGAAAACGTATATAGAGAAACATGTCTATCAATTCCAGAGCAGATTAACTCAACAGACGGGAGGTTTCACCATCGAATGACGGTAATGTAATTTCAAAAATTCAAACTACGAATATATGAATGGGTGAAGACCAGAGCGGTATAAGAGACATTTTATACATTCTGAGAAATCCGTTTCTTTAAGTTAGTATTACTGTAAAGTAATGGTGCTGTGTTTCGTCATTAAAACCAAGAAAATACATTTGCACTAAAATATAGCAATATAGCCTAAAACAAACACGTTTTCCCATAATTTATAAAATGTCACTAATACCGTTCTGTTTTTCACTCATTCATATAATAAAAATGTAATCAATTCAATTAAATGAAAACCAAGTTAAATATAAGAGTATATTGAAACATTACTTACATAATTTTATTCGTCGTGATATCCTTCAACGCACATGATTTTGGCTTTGATTTCCACTAGCTCGTATTAAATGGAAGGGCAGAGAGTTAATGCAGTAAACCCACTAATACAGCAAGAGCTGAGAGCGTGGTGCGATACCCGGCAAGGCACCAAACACCGGAAAAGGCGCCAAATGGACGCTCTTTGGTTTCAAAATGATTTCATCGATATTACTGCAATATCTTGAATATTGAATGACATTAAAAGGAAAATGTATATCCCTAAGATATTCTGAGATCTTTTCCGATTATCTGGTAGTTGTGCAACCTAAGCACGAGCCGCCACTGCCAGAGCTTTATAATTGTAAAGGAGTTCCGACACTAGTTCTTCAAAGACCTCAACTTTTCTGTTACCAAAGAATTCCGTTACGTCCTTTAACGAAGTTTAAAACACTAACTAGATCTTTTAGTTTTCACTAATTGATTCTATGACATTCTGTAAATACCCCTTCGAAATATGTCTTCGCTACTGTCCATTTCGGTACTTACGTTTAAATCTTCATCGCCAGTTTTCGAAATGTATACTCCAAGTCCGGTGGCGCTGGGATTGAAAGGTCGTCGCTGTGAGGAACAGGCCTGATAGCTGGAAGGTGGTGGAGATACTCAATGGTCTTGCTTGTGATTACAGCAACTTTGGTAATGCAGAAATAAGTCCGTGAAAATGGGATACGTCACGAATTTCCGTTAAGCCAACCACTAAATAATGATACATACGACCACAGCAAATATGAGGGGCCCACGATTTGTCCTCATCACCCATTTGACACCCGACATGGAATTCATATGCATTTCTTCTTAAGGGAGTAATATTTCGCCTTTGATTCTTCAAAGTTACCTCACCACACACATATAACAGCAACTGTTTGGGTGGTTTACACATTGCCGCAGTATTGTAAGGAATCTGTTCATACACTAATGAACACTAGAACGCAACGTACAGAAGAGTCGTGTACTCTACAGAAATATCAACCCCTTACTCGCTCAAAACGTAGGGCGCAACTACCATGAAGTGGCCTAAATACACAACGCGTCGAGTCGGCGCGTCGTTTACATGGGCCATTCCAATTCCCTTCGGAATGCCTAAAGTTGCTCAAATGATTTGACCGATCTATCATCTATTTCAAATCTTGCGTCTAATACATCACACATTGTAGGCGGCCACCGTTTTGTAATAAAACTGCAAGCAAATAGCGTTCATGCACAAACGACACGGTGCTACCTGCGAAATATATAGAAGTTTAATATATGTGCGATTATACGAAAAATGAGCAACTGTGTGGTTCTATTTAGCTTTAGCGTAGTAAAGTATGTACGAAACAGCTCCAGTTAGCCATTTAACAAAATCACAGTTGAGCAGTGTAATTAAAGTTAATAAGAATAGTTGGTGATGCTGACCGTTCCTTACAATAAGATTGGAGACAATGTTTGAGTGAATGATGGGCACAGGCAAGACAATTTCTGACAAGCCTTGCAGACGACGTCGTGGATGATGCATGGACGAGAAACTATTGTTCCAATTTAAATGGATTCTAAAATACCCTACTGATCAGTTTTGAATATTTCCTTCATAATCTAACACATTCAATAACTATATCATTGATGAAAAAGTATTCCTATTTTAACACTTATATCACAATTTAATTTTAAAAAATTGTTAATAACTTAATGTTTTTGTATGAGACTGTATAAAATGAATTAGTTCAGCAATGTTGAAAATTTAAAAAAAAAATCAACGCCACGTAACGCTAAACTAATACCTCTAACCTAATGTAACGCGCTCTCAAACCCCTTCCAGCCCTCTAGCGTTACGTAATTTATGGACGAGCCCCTGAGGAGAACGTACTTAAAGCGCTAGTACTTAGTGGACTGTGAACGTTCACAGTTCACTTCGGAAGGTCGCGCCGCTGTATAGGTTCTACAGGGTGGCAAGCCCAAGCAGCGGGGGACCACAGGTAGTGTTCGAGGCTTTGCCCGAAGGATGGGCGTTTCGTGCGCCACTGAGCATCTAGTGCTGGAGGGCAGCCTGCCAGTGGAGTCTACTGGCTAGTAGACAAGGGGATGCGATCATATGAACGCATAATTCCAAATATTTAAATATCAGTCTACATTCGCTGATGTATTATAGAAGTTTATTTTGAAAATTAGATACCTTATGAATCTTCCTTGAAAATCATCAGTTTCATTGCATGCACTTACATAAACAAAACAAAAAATAAACCATAAAAAAGTACACGACTAATTTTTGAACTCAATATATATTCACCACTGTTTTTTGGCAAATACGGTCATGTCCTTTTGAATTCAGGGCTTTGCCGAAGATTGTCCATCAATACATTTTGTTTTTAATCTCACACTCGCATATCCAATGATTTTCATATAATCTTACCACTATAATGACAAACACTATTCTTCAATTTTGAGGTGTTATGTTATGGTTAAATTTAATAGTTATCCATCACTAATTACCTAGTTTCTTGGAATAGGAGAAAGAACTAAAAGGAATTTGAAGAATCCTGTCTAGAGCACAATGAAACATTTCACAATTGTTCCCTGCCACAAGTAACTCATTCACCGCTTCAATAAAAGGCAGTGGCAATAAAGTCATTGATCACCAGAGCATCTGGAGTCCTGCACATCACTCTTTAGCCTTTCAATAAGCAGCTTCTGAGCATCACCATCTAATGTCATATTGTGCATGACAGTGTGAAAGGTAAAAGAGACATGTTGCACGTTATATTTCTTTGGTTCGTTTAGATTTTTGCCACACAAGAGACACTAAGCAAATCCATTTTTGCTGCAAAGATAAACTGCCCTTTCCAGCAAATGAATTGTTAATGAGCTCACTCTGCGCAAAGCAAAAATGACAAGTTCCATGAGCCAGATGTAATTACTCAGCTCCCGCTCTCCTCCACTGCCTGCAGAGCATTTGCCCGTGGGCTCCTGTGCCATTGAAGTGTTTGAACACCCTTGCCAACTGCACGAAAACACAGCAGAATGAGGAAACTGAAATGTGTTTCTATAAAATGTCTATGATATAGAAATATGTTTAGAGATAGAACAGTTGAAAAGATAATAATCTGTCCAAAAATCCCAGAGGCGAACACTTAACACACATCAATCTATGTGCATCCCATGCCTATCCACTGCCTGGCCCTGGCTGTGGCTGTTTAAGAGGGAAGATTTCCATTAGCCTTATGGGGAAATCAATCTGCTTAACAAAAGAATGGCCATCACAAGAGGCAACCGCACATTCCAGGTTTGAGCAGGTTTAATTTTTCATTTGAGAGATTTAATGCAAGACTCAAAGTGAATTTCTGAGTATTCAACAGTAACTCTGTATTGAGTAAATAAAAAATCCTTAAGTCAAACAATAATTATTATGTAAAAGAACAATTCTCTATTAAAACCTTTAAACGTATTATTTTTGATAAGTTCTAAGAACATGTTAACTATATCTCCACAAAGTTCTGCCACTCTTCTCTAGTAAATCAAAAACATCAGAAATGTTCACAATATTTATTTAAAAAGGACACCTACATGCCTGAATTTGATACAGTATAATACAAACAAAAGATTCAAAAATAAATACAAAAAGTATATTTTAGGGAATATGTGTTGTCGATTCTCAATAACTACATCGGAACAAATTCCACAACCATTTAATTCTATGTTAAACATTTTTTTGGTACAATAAATGTAAACACAAAACAACCGATTATCCAGAAGTATACAACTTTAACTTTACACATGAATTACTGGGGAGGTGGCTGGTATCCGGGAAACCGGCTCTGATCATACCCATACTGACTCTGAGGAGGAGGGCCTTGGGGTCCGGGAGGAGGCATTTGAGGAGGGCGAGGATACTGTGGATATCCTCCCTGAGTGGGAGGTGGAGGATATGACTGAGGACCATACCCTTGTTGAGCATGAGATGGATAGCCATGCTGAGGAGGATAATTCTGGGGTTGACCTTGTGGTCCTTGTTGGGGAACATAGGTCTGTGTGGTAGCAGGGTGAGACTGAGGAGGAGGAAGTCCATAGCTACTGGGCGGTTGTGGCTGATTCGAACTCGGAGGCGGGCCTTGTGGGGAGGGCTGTGACTGAGGGGGCTGGAATGCAGCTTGAGGATTAGCATTCTGTTGCTGGGGTGCTGGAGGATATCCACCGCTAGGTTGAGATGATGGAGGGTAGCTCTGTTGGCCAGTTGAACTTGTAGGTCCTTGTGGATAGGTCTGGGTAGAGGCTGAAGGAGCCATTGTAGTAATGCCAGTCTGAGAATATGCAGTTTGTGGAGGTCCTGTGAAAGGTGGGGAAGCTGTGGATGAAGGTCCATATCCTGGCCCTGGACTTGCCTGGTTGACATAGCCTCCAGGTCCCTGTTGGGATGGTGGTTGCTGGCCTTGGGATTGTGTTGTCGGAGGATAGCTCCCCTGTTGAGAACTACTGCTGTTGTAACCAGACTGAGGCTGGCTTTGTGGTGGGGGAGGTGGAGGCTGCTGTTGCTGACTAGGAGGTTGGTAGGAGTTACTACCTGGGCCACCACTTGCACTACTATATGTACCACTCTGACCTGTTTGAGTTGATGACTGTGATACAGATCCATAACTTGTCTGTGAACTTGATGTTCCGTAAGCTGGCTGGCCACCTCCAGGCCCATAACTTCCAGGCTGAGCAGTGGAATTGGGTGGATATCCTGCTTGTTGAGACTGCCCTGGTATTGGAGGACCATATCCTGGTTGCTGACCTGGTCCAGGGGGACCACTTCCATAACCTGTTTGCTGCTGAGAGCCTGCAGGTCCACCATAACCAGGGCTGCTTCCCACAGATGTTGTTGTAGGAGGCGGGCCATAATTTGGGGGCTGTGATGGTGGTGGCCCTCCGTAACTCTGTGGTTGCGAAGAAGGAGGTCCTCCATATCCAGATGGTTGCACTCCACCTCCATAACCACCCTGTGGCTGAGGGGGTCCTTGCTGTTGCTGCTGAGGGACAGGAGGCGCATATGCCTGAAACAGGTGCACAAATGAATTGTTAAAATTAATCAATTAATTATTTCTTTTCAAGATACCATCAAGGCATGTACACTTAATTATATCTATTAACTGAATAAATGTCTTGAAACACAACTTAATATGTGCAAAACTATGAAATGATTCACTCATTTTGTTTTACATTTTTATGACAGTAAAGAGAAAATTGCAAAAGAATCTATCCACATTTTGACGGAAATGCACTTTATGATGCTGAACAAGGAATGTTTTTTATTGAAAAATGTCCATCTGTGAACAGCTAGAGCCTAAGCAGCCCACAGAATATTTTCCAATCAGTATGGCTCAACTTGAAGCTCTCAAAACTTGAAAAGTATCTTTTAATTTTTGGGAGGCACTTGATATGAAGCTCATTCTACATTTTAAAAATTACTTACAATGACTTGAATTTTTTCCGAATTTCTTCAAATAAAAATATGTGAAATGTTTCAAAATTTAAAGCACAAACATTTTGAAACTTAAAAAAAAATTAAATTATTATCCAATCTCTCAGATATCATTGCAGAAGCTAGAGATTTCTTTCATAATGCAATCTATTCTTCAACATTAGATTTTTAAATCTTTTTATGGAAACTTCTTTTTATCAAAAGATCAGTAGTTTTGCTACAATTTTGACAATTTTCCAAAACTATATACACAAGATATTTAACCAATTACAAATTTTTACTTCAAAACTTTTGTATGAATATACTGAATTATACGAGAAGTATGATTTTGATTGTTTTTGAATTTCTAAATATTAGACCAACACAATAATTTTCCAACATTTCAAAAGTTGAGTCCAAAATATCACATATCAAAAAAGGCTCACACAATATCTCAAAAATTCTCTTGCACTAAAAAGTTTTTTCTTCTTTGATATTCTAAAAGCTTCATATTCTTTAAAGGAATAAAGGATTAAGAAAATTAAGAAAACCTAGGCAACAATAGCATGTCCTTTCATTATTAGTACCAGTATAATACTTCTTGAACCAACAAAAATGTTTGTACACACTGGGTTACGAACACTGACACTTAGGATTAGAAAGCAGTTAATAACCACTGCACCAATCACTTGGATTGGCAACCTTTCCGATGCTTTAAAAAGGAAGCAGAAAACTGCAATTTTTGTAAGTTCAGAAGTTTCAATGAAAATCAGAAGAGTTCAGATAAAAAATTAAGAAAAATTTTGCAGTTTTGAGAAAATAGTGTTGATATATTTGTAAGATTTCACTATTCCACTAAAATTTACACAATAACATTCCTTTTTTTTCTTTTACAGGACATTATTTAAATATCTAATTTTGGTAAACAGATTTTATTTAGAAAAAAGTCATCTCCAATATTGTAATTATAGGAAGCCTCCAAAAAGTTTTTTTTACCCTTTTCAGATATATTATTGAAAATTTTACCCGCACAATATTTATAGGTATAATTTGCTGTATTTGAAGAACAAATACATTTTGAGTAATTTTTGAGAAAATTTTGAATACATCACTGAAGTTTTTTGTAGAGGATCACCAAATATCAAAATATAATTTCAAATTCAAGAGGCCATGATATGCACTAAATCGATTTGGTAATATCAATTTTGATGAAAATCCTGCGAAAGGTTCAAAAGCTGTTGTTGCTCACAGATAAAAAATTGGTTCTCAGCAAAATGTCTAACATCAAGGACTCACAAAACTGGATTGTCAATACACAACATATTAAAAGAAGTAATATTTAACTCATAGAAGCAAGACATTCATACTTTTTAATATCATGGAACCACAAAATTAATTTTTCTCTAAAATAAAATTTAAAAAATCATCATATTTTGCTACAGAATGTCAGAGCTACTCTACAAGTAGTAAGCACAAAAGTAAAAATGTAGAAGATTTTTTCTTGAAACAATTAATAAAATTTCAGTACTGCAATAATGAGGATTAAACTATCATGTCAGTTAAAATGTTCTATAAATTATATTCTGTAACATTTTGTTTAGTTCATGAATTTTCACAAATTATTTATGAATGATATTGAAGATTAAATCTGCAATAAGAAAAAATGAATGAAGAAAGCAAATGAAGAATGGTATTTAAAGCAGGAGAGGTTTTCAAGAATTGTTACTGCAGCATCAAATTCTGTTGAAAATTATTCACCTATATTCAGAATTTATAGATGTGATTGTAAGCCGTATTAGCTGCAAAGAAGTTATAATTTTTTTTATGAACTTGGTTGTTAAAGATGTCAGGAAATTGACATAATTGTGTAGACTGTTTTAAGATGTTTCATAGTATGTGTCTTACAAAAGATGGCTGAAACGTTAATAAAATGTAAAACGGAATATCTTTATTATTTTAATTTTAGAAAACGATTAGAAACAGTAAGAGAAAGTCTGGTCTATTTTGCAGCACCGCTAGTTTTTAAATATTATTGAAAACTGATTCACAGGTGAGCACGTACTTGGGATCCAGGACTTTGACTTCCATACTGCCCTGGATAGCCTTGTTGAGACCCTTGTGGGTATGATTGTGGACCTCCTCTGTAAGGGGGTCCGGTGGTACCTGGCCCTGAAGCAGAACATAATGAAATTCATATTTATTATCAAGACATAAGACTACTTCAATTAAGAAATAACAGGAAATAGTACACAATTGCAATGTCAAAATTAGTACGTACGTTGAGGAATTCCTTGCTGCCCAGGCATCATTTGTCCTCTATATACCCCTTGCTGTTGAGCAAATCCAGGCATAGGCCCTTGTGATCCAGGAGTCATGTCCGCTCCAAGCCCCTGAGGAGGTCCTGGAGGACCTGGGGGACCTCCTTGCCCTCCTGGTCCATGCATACCCATCTGAGGTCCTCCTGGAGGCTGGGTTCAAAGAATAAAAAAATTATGCCATTCAAATGATAGGGTGGAGGTCTACACCTAGTTCCTCGCAATAAAGAATGCAATTCAACGATTAATTTGTAAATAAGAATGCACAATTACCGTCACCGTGCTCAAAATTTGGTTCATTAGCCAAGTGCAAACAAAAAACTTTTCTGGCTTTTTTCACTTTTATACTTTATAATTTAACAATTAATTTTGCAATCCTTATTCTTTAATTATATAGTAATATTTATGTATGTTAATTTCCTATGTATGGTGTAAGGCATTTCTTTTATCTTTTAATTTTTTTTTTTAATTCTAAAGAACTGTGAAATAAGAAAAGCAGAAAAAATATCAACAAATATATCTCAGATACACTTAATATAGAAAATTCATTGGAATTAAGAAAATTATCTGCAGACTTACTAATATAAAGTTGTAATTAAATAAAACAATGGCTTTTGGTTTGGCATTAATGATTAGTATAATCTTTGTAGAATAATTGTGGTTGTGAAGTTGAAAATAATTTATGCAACAAAATCTGAATGGTCACTTTCTCAGGCAAATTTTCTTGACTATCCCCAACATTTTCACTTTTTTAGAAAGTTTGTACATTATTACACAGTATTTCTGTTAATAAGAATACTACACACAATACACAACAGTCCAGCTGATCAAGTCAGATTAACAGGCTGATATTTTATATATTAACAATATCGAAATCACACCAGCAGTGATGCAGCTCTGACAACTGAAGACATTTAAAAATCACACAGTCTTAGTTAGGTTGACTTTTAAACAGTCAATAATGCTTAAATAATGCACAGAAATTAGTATAAAGAGTGTCATAACAATTATCTATTTTCAGCAATGTATATGTTGATGCATCACAACAAGATCCAATATATAGATGAGGAAGCCCAAAATATTTAATATAAAACTTGTAAACAGCTGAAGAAGCTGCCTGTATGATGCTGGAATTTGTGCTGGTCAGCTCAACACACCTGCATCGCAATATAACGTTTCAGTTGGGTCGAGGAGCGTGGCGACAGTGGATGCTGCCCATCCCAAGCCCGGGTAAAGGAGGAAGGTCTCTAATGTGGCATTGCTTGCACTTACTACGGGCACACTTCTTTCTTTTCTATTTAGTCTCTCTTGATTCCTGCGTTTTTCAACCCCCCCGCTATTAGGTATTGAGGGCTAGGGAGCCATTTGTTTTATCTTCTTTGCTTTTCTCTAACTATGCTTACTTCCCTATATAAATACATAGGAAACAGTACTACAGGGAAAGTAAGGGAAACTAAATTATTCACAATTGACTTCAATGCAATACAACGAATAAACAAAATGAAATATTTGAGAGTAATCATTGATAGTAAATTAAATTTTAAAGACTAAATAGAGTATGTAGTAAAGAAAGCTGGGAAAAAGATTAATATTTTAAACAGAATTGGGCAATATATAAATGGATATACAAGATGTTTGATATATAAATTCATAATTGCACCACATTTTGACAAATGTGCAACAATACTAGTTGGAGTCCAAAAAAGGAATCTATATATAAGATGGCTTTCAACCCATAATCCTGTGGACAGAAATGTTTATATGAAACAAATAAACTTTGTCGAAAAGCAAGCATGTAAAGGATCAATATTGGGACTGAATTTGTAATGAAATAGATGGCTATTAAAATATGCACTAAGTCTGTTTTTAGATTATGTGGCAATGCTATTGAATGCAAGTATTTTAACCCTTCATGTGTCTGAACAATGGAATCATGGATCAGTTCCATTCATAAAAATGGAAACAGGAACAACAGTTAAAACTATCGAGGAATTAGTGTAATTGCATGTTAAGATAAAAAATGAAGTATCAGAAGGTTTTATAGTAAATCAGGGTCTCAGATAAGGATGCCCTCTTTTACAAACTTTGTTCAATATTTTTATTGGCAAAACTCAATGGAATGGTCCAGAAAATATAGAAATTTGGGTATGACTGTTGGAAATGAGAAGATTTATAATCTCCTTTTTCCTGACAACCAAGTAATTTTGGATGTAGACAGAATGATAATGAATTAAGAATGTTAAAAAAATTAATAAAAAAATAAAAAATGGGAACTCGAAATAAAGAATGAAAAGTTAAGATACACGTTTGTAAGGAAATTTGGGAATAATCTAGAAACAATAAAATACATATATTTTGAGTAGTATAGGAATTTAAATTAAATTTGTTCAAATAATTGGTTGATATGACCAGGATTTGAACAAGGGCCTTACTGGTAAAGGAATTTAAATAACTTGGAGAGGCACTTAGTGCAGATGGCTCTGATGACAATGACATTATTAAAAAAATAAGCAAGAAAAGGGCAACTACAACTAGACTTCATAATATTTTATGAAAAAAGAATATTAGAAAGCAAACCAAGAGATAAATGAAGGCAATGGTGAAGTTGTGTTACATATGGATCAGAAACTTGGATTAAAAAGGATGCAATAAACTCTCCGTTAAATGCTATGGAAATGAATATCTAGAGACACTGTTGTCAGTATATTCTTTGATAGAAGTACACAACGAAGAGATTACACAGATATGCGGTAAGTGATGAAAAATGTAGAATTCCAAAAACTCCAATTATATGGCATCTAATGAAGAATTGGCCTGCTGACAGAAACTAAAATTGTCTTTGAGTGGATCCCTTTTTGTGAAAGAAATGAAGGCAAAGGAAATCTTGAAGGTCCATCATCGATTTGACAATGAAGAACAAAAGAATACAGAACGATGGTTGGTGAAGTAAAAAAAAAAATTGGCATGTAGACTGCAAGAAATGGTCATTAAAACTGTAAAAATCTTGCTTGCTAATTAAAAAATAGCTACAAATCCATTTAAAAGATTGTAATATTGTATTAAGTGAAACCATATTTTTACAGGAAAACTAGGCAATGTAAGTATGCTAGGTTGAGGACAAACACACAAGAAGTGGAATTAGTATGTTACTCATATTGAAAAAAATAATTTTGGATTATTGGAATAAAGAATTATTTTTTTTAAATTACCGAACCACAAGAATTAACTGACCAGAAGATAGTGAGGAGAAGGCTGAAATACAAGAAATGGATAGTCCCTAATGGAAATTCAGCAGTTACATTAAATTTTTAACCACAAATTTCCTTATTAGTAGGGCTGTGATTTATATGCCTTTGCATTTTTTTCTGTTAACTAAAAAATCCCATTACAACAAACCATACTCTTTTTGAGGCGTTTAGAATCGATATAAGCTATTTTCATTTCACATTCACCCCTCATCCACATAAAGAAACCTAACAGTTACAGTTCCGTCAGCATGTACGTGGCTCTGACAGTTCTCTCACCAAATACAATGGTACATCATGTGGCCTGCTCTGAAGCAATGGGCTTCTGAGGATTTGTTTACTTTGTCCTAGCCACATAAGCGTTGCTACTCACCTGACATGTATAAAGTCTCTCAAGAAACACGCTAAGACCTGTCATTGGCAGTATCAGTGAAAATGAAATGTGCATCCACTAAGCGCCTATGCATGCCCATATATGGGGCAAACTTCAAGTGGTGCTAAACGAGTCAGGCCTGTAAATTTGTGATACAGACAATCTGAGAATGAGTCTTTTGTTCGCTGAGTAGTGAAGGAGAAGAGCAGAGGCTGGCACATAATGTTTTTAACAGCTAAGTTTGAATGACGTTCAAGTATTAAGTTATTTGATTATGGTGTTCTAGATTTTATTATAATTAAGAGGAAGTCATACTTTTATTGCAATACCTACATTTTTTTATTTCGTGAAATGTACATTAACTGCATCTCCCATTATTTTCCTAAGAAATGAGTGTTCTTCAAAACTAAGCCCTAGTCTTAGTTTTTTGCTTGTATACATTTATAAGGTTTCTGTATATTTTTTTTGCTGTAAACATATTTTCCACAATTTTTATTAATTTTTCACATACACATTACGTAACACTATTTTGTATATTTTCCTTTATTAATTGCATATAATGCCAAATATATTTACACACACACTGCATGTTTCACTGCTTTTATTGTATATAAATCACAGTCCTCCTTATTAGACATTGTAAATTTAAAAAATTTTCATATCAGAGGTCACACTTGATTCACATGATTTTGTGAGTTTCTGACAGTTCATGTAGAGTGTAGTTTTCAAAAGACACCAACCTCACTTTGTTGGTATTTTTGTTCATCATATAACTAGAAGTCTCAGAATAAAGATTACTAAGTTTTTGGGCACGTACAGGGGAAGAAAATAATCACATTTGGCCAATGAACACATAGTGGGAAATTTCATATTAGGAAGCGACACATGACTTTTGCCCCTGCTACACAGGCAACCCATCAAGCAAAGATGCTCGGCAGGTAAAACCCCTTTTGAATGCTTTAGTGAACGAGTTGCTTATAAACCTGAGACAAATGTCATGTGTAACTTCATTACATTAAATTTCCTATCAAATGCTCATTAACAAAATGCAATAATTTTTCAATCCTTCCATGCCCTAGAAGTTTAAAACTCGTACTTTGAGACATTCTGTGAATACAGTAAAAGGACGAGGAAGGGATTTCGGAGAAAAAGAAAACATGAAGAGATTGTACTTCTTTTTCATACGTCACACACATTTTTTTGATAAAAATAAATCAAATATATTGAGGAGAAAATACAGATAGAATAAAATAGAATTTAAAAAAATCAGCATAATCTCCCAAGATGAGTTTCAAGAGTAAGGTTGTCAGGGATTATTGGAACAAAAGAAATTTGATATTTTATACTAGAGAATGGGAATGCTTATACATTTTTTTTAGAAAACTTATTAGCTTAGCTACAAAGTGGAGAAAGTTATTTTATTGTGATTGGCTGATGAATTATAAATGCCCAATATTTTTTAAAACAGAGTTTCTGCAAAATCCTGAAAATCAACACCTGTGGTTGAAATCCCTACAATCCCACTTCCACTGCCTCGGTGTATACTATATGCATGTAAATTATATTCTGTATACATATACTATCAAATCTGAATACAATAATTAATATTACAATAAATATAAAAAAAAAATTATGAAATGTAGAAGTGGTTAACAAACGTGATAAGTATGTATGGAAACTAAGAAAGAAAAAGAAAATAATATATATCCACTCTGAAAGGCAGATTTCTGCGCAAAATGATTAAGAGAAGTTTACAAACATGGCACATGGCATTTTTCTTTTGTGTCTGGGCATCATATTTCTAGCGAGGTAAAATTACATGTTTACTAGCGTTGTTGTTGTTGTTTGTTTTGTTTTTTTAATCAATTTACACAATGTTGCTTTCTGGATTTTACCTTCTTGCCTGTAGGTATACATGTATTAAGACACGTAAGGATCATGACTTACATTCTTTAAAACATTTTTGATTTGATTTATTAGCCAAAACAGTAGAAACTGTATGTGATGTATGGGGGAGAAATATAACCTGCACATGTTTTCTTGAACTACAGAATATCTTCTCCACTCTTTCACTGTAGATGGTTGAATGATGAACAAAAGTACAAACAAAATTACATTATCAACATTTGAAAAATCAAAAATTTCCACTTCTAAATTGTAGAAAACTTATTTGCAAAAGAAAACAAACATCAGATTTGATTATACAGTGTTGCTAACAAAATAGTAAACCACAACCCCATCTATAGTCCACAACTAGCAAAACTTTTGCGTAATGATACTTTCACAATTTCAATAGAAAAACCTGTTTGTTTTGCACACTGATTTCCACTTCATGAAATCTCATGATATATCTTTTGTCCCTTTTTCTTCTTTTTTTTGGGGGGGGGCGGGAGGGGAGAAATTTTATTATTTAAAGAAAAGCTTAGGTCATGATATTCTGATAATTACATAGGGATTGTGTTAAGTTTTGCATTCCCATTTGTATCTCTTATGTGTTATATTGAGCGTTCGATCACTCCTTAAATAATTTTTCAATTTATTGGTCCCAAAAAGTTTAAACTCTAATTCTATTTATTGATGACCTTTATCAACTAAGGTATCTTCTTAAAACAATTCACATATTATAAAGTTAATGTGGTCTGCCTATTTTTTTTTTTTTTAAGTCAACAATAAAAATACTATCTAGTTTTTAGTTTAATAGGAATTATCTGTAAGTAACAAGATCTCACAAGTTAACCCCCCACATACACACACAGGAACAATTATTTCTCATGTCTGCCTGGTTTTAAGACGACATGATACAATTGCAAAATTATTATGCATTTGTCATTCTTAAGGAACGAAGCTTACTAAAGAAAAAAATTATTATTAGGGAAAGGATTTTTATGCCCCAAATCTTGAAATATGATTTAAAATTTGCGCGTTTGTGCCCTAAAAATTCTGAAATAAGCACTTTAATATGTAATTAAAATTAACATTTAATTTCCTATATAAATCTTCCTTGATGAAGTTCCAGGAGAAGAAAATATGTGGGAGCATAATACAACTACTGTACTTTTCAGTAGAAATAGCTGAAGTAAATATTCACTTTAGTGAAGTATATGGTATCTTGTTGGATTTCGTCTCCCTGATTTAAGAAGTATGGTATCAAGAAAAATACTACATTTGCACAGATATTTTAATCATCTACAGAAAAGAAAAAAATGCAATGGCATAATGTATTTTTATCTTACAATTTCATTCTTTCTTATGCTAAAAAAAAAGTGAAAAGATATGTTTTAGAGATAAGTCTATTTTAACAAAATACCCAAAATATGCCCCACAGGAAAAATTCGTCAAATATGCACCAACATATTAATCTACATAGCATGGGATGCAATTCTAATCAAATGTCAAGATATGTTTAGCTATGCCATAAAGCAACAGACAAAAATATGCAAAATCATAGAAATCCACTCCTTAATGATTAGTTTGTCACGGATAAATTCGAAAATGGCAATATTTTGAAGGAAAATATCTCCTAAGAAAAACAAATTATCACTTCTGAAAATGAATTTGAATGGATTTAAATTTATTGTACACACCACAATAAAACAATTTTAACAGAAAATTGAGTTGATTTTCAAGCAATTTCACAAATTTTTAAAGCCTATTCATGAAGAAATATACAATAGAGGTGAAACTCTCACTGTTTGAGTGTGAACTAGAGAATTTGCTAGCATTGTTTCCATGTAGCGGCATCTATTTTAGGGTTCACGCATATTTACAAATGCTAATTTGATTATATGCTCTTCAGGAAGTAGTGCAAGCTTACGGAACTTAAACCATTCACTTCATCCTCAAATTTCATTTCTTCCTGGTAGAGAGGATATTGCACATGGCAACGTAATTGTTAGTGACATTTCGTTTGCGAGCAAGTTTGGTGGTGTACTTTGTTAGCACATACTTTGCAGATCACAATGGCTTCAGAATTCGCTAACGCTATTTTATAAAAGTAATGCACAAAATTGTAACATCCATAATATATGCTTGAGGAAATTGGGTTTACGGCTTCTGCATTAGATTTTTCAAATACACGTTTCCATTACAAGTGCCAAAGTGGCTCCGGTTCTGCAACATGCAGTACAGAATTCTGTCAGTTGACCTGAAGTCTGAGAAGACGACAGATGAATTGCATGAAAATATTCTCAAGTAAATCAGTTTTGAGGAATACCACTGATTCAGAAAGAATAGGCAAAAAAATGTAGTATTCTTCGCTTAATAAACAATTGTTTCTTTTAAATGAAAATTATCACCATCTCTTCACCACAAATGTGTACTTATTTGCATCCTTTTTGAATATCTGGAAGAGGATAAAGAGCCATGGGGTCTGAATGACATATTGCTTGACGAATAACTATAATATTAGAGTCTCTATTCCATCTACAATCTTGCAGAAGGAATTCCTGTACATTTGTAGTAATTTTTAATGGTGGTGCCAAAATAATGGGCTTTGTCCCCCTCTGTATTTTAATAATTACAAATTTAAAAACCACATTTGATCATGCTTAATAAATTGTTAAAAATATTACGCTATGAAATCTGTTCAAAATCCAATGTATGTTTTGTGGTACTTACTTAAATGTTACATCTGATTAAATCTTAGTTTTTTAAACTGATCAACACGGATTATCACAAAGCGCAAATATGCTAATTGATTGCATTTTCCTTCCAAGTAAATTGTGATGTATGCTGTGTTTGACTCCATAATTCAATTGATAGAGATGTCTGGATAACGGAAGACCCTGGGATCAGATCCAAGAGGCATCAAATATTTGCACTTTGGGACAATCTATTATAATTATTTGGTGTATTAGTGGTTTTACAGTAATGACAAAAAAAAAGGTTTCTACAGACAAAGTACATTTCATCCAATGTGCAAGTCATTTTATTATATTAATATAAAATAATTTATGCCATTTGACAACATAAAAAATAGATGAATGTTTGGTGTTATAACTCAACAAGTTGGAGATAAATTATAATTGTATCATCACTGATGTGTAGATTTGAATGTCAAGAGTGGTTTCAATAACGTAATGTGTATACAATTCATGGTAATGTAATGTCTGGAATAACAGATTTTTCATTTATATCAGAGTTGCATTGCTCTACAGTTATGTAAAATTGTTTTCAGATTATATTTTATGAATAATATAAACAAAAATATTTGTTTTTTGATAATTTCCAACCGATTCTTTTGTTACTTCTAAATAGGTGCACAGTTAGCTGTACACGTGACATTATATAGGTTATTATCTACATTAGACGTCCAAGTAAATGAAGTACCGTGCATCTGAGCCAGCTGCTTCAACACTCAAGAAGGACCCATACTGGCCACAGAGTGCTGTGTTGCCAATTAATTCCTGTACCTTATTGTAGATGGTGCCAAACGAGTTTCCCCTCCTATTCCACATTTCTCCATGGCCTATTATTCAAATTATCAACACAATTTTAATCTTAACACAACAATTAATTTTATGTCACAATCAAGATAACCAATTAGTCACTGGGAGTTATCACATTAATTTTAAATTCAATAATTAGTAAATTGGCATTGAAAGTAAACTTGGCTCGTTTTACCCTTGAAACCAAACATCATACTTTTTCTTTGTCTTTCTCTAACAGGTAATACAATTTCTACCATGATGCATCAGTAAACAGCACTATTTTATTCACTAAATTTAATTATACAGTAAAAATAACTGGATAGGACAGAGGAACTCCACTACGTCTTGCTAAGAAAGTTGATGGACCCACCAATCACTGATTTACTGAGATGCAAAACTATGCTACTCCTGATTGGTTGCAAGGAGGTAAGCAGCAAAACGCAAAAGATCCTGTGAATCATGAGACTTTTGATACTATCAGTGGTTTGTTGCTCATTTTCTAAAGGATTTCAAAAGAAATGTGAGCAACTGATTCATAACTCATGTTCTATGTAGAAATAATTTCTTTGAGAATGGTGGTATATTCCCATTCTTGTACAAATGATTTCCATGTAGAACACAATCTCAATCAATCCCTGCCTGAATTTTAATTATTAATATTACTATTATTATTTTTAGCAACTGAGATATAACTATACCTACTCATATTGAAAATGTACACATGAAAATTATTTTATTTATACTTACAGGTAAAAGAGCTTGAATATTTTGATTGGCATCAGCTATGGAAGCAAGATACACCAAGTTCCGATGCAAAATCTGCTGATATCTATAAAAATTAAAACAAAGGAAGGAAAAAAGAAGTCAATAAAAATTTCACCACACAATATTGAATTATGAGAATGGATTGATGATGATGATACTAATAATAATAATAATATTTATGAGTCACATATACAATTAAAATCTTGTATGACAAGTCAATATGATGTCTTGGGTGGAGAGAGTGAAGTTACATTACTGTTCAGGAGCAAACACGGGGCCATCTCAGCATTTGCTCAAGGGATCAGGGAAACTGAACAAAACCTGATTGATGGGGTCATTGGCCTAGAAATTATACTACAATACTTGATATATATCTTGAAAGAATAAGAAGATAAATAAAGAATTCAAGTGAAAAGCATCTCTATTTTCAATTCTTTGTTAATGTCAAAGTCGTTGACATTGTTATTCTATGTAATATCAATTTTCTGATATGGAAATTACAATCAAATTCATTATTTCTGTAATGTTATTCATTGTCAACTACACTCATCATTTAATAATGCATAATATTTTGCATGTGTAAGAATCTGAAGAAAGGGGTAAACAAATATCCAAGAAACTTCATGAATTTTGGGATATTCTGAGCATTTTCATACAAACAGAAAAAAAATTAAGTTAATTAGCAAACCAAAACTATACATAACTTATTTCCTTATGAAACATGAGGCTTATCTCATGCAAGCTTATTATTAAATAAAAATACAAAAGACACGAAAATGTGTACGTAATCTTCCAAGACAGCTACCTACTTCATTTTATGAAGTAAATGACATCATAATGCATGCTACAGAAAGTTTGTTGTATAAGTTAGCTGGAAATGTTGTATAAAAATTACTCACTGTGTACGTTCTAGAATTTTCCCACAAGAAAGATACCCACAGTAAATGACATCATTTTACATAATACAGAAAGTTTGTAGTTTAATCTACTTGGAAATGTTATATTAAAATTACTCACTGCATACATTCTTGAACTTTCCCCTTGTTCTGGTACTCTTGAATTGTCTGAATGAGATGACTGTTTTCATCCAACATCTGAAACCAAATGAAAATGCATAGTTAACCAATAAATGGGTCCAAACGTAATTAACTGATATCAAAGTGACAAATTCACTGTTTTACCTTCTGAATTTGGGCCGCATTTGGCGGCCCTCTCCCTCTTTGAACAAACGCCACTGACATTACTGGCAGACGAGATGGGACTACGGGGCGAAATAAATGGCGTTACTCTGGCACAGTTTCAATGTTTTTCAGTTCCAGACACTTAAAAATCAAGGTAACGCCCGATCAGAGAGTATATGCGTAGTATCTCAAAATACAGGGCTCGATCAATGACGTACTTAATGATGTTTCACTAAATTTCACGCTTCTCAACCCCAATAGCGCCGGATTGCACCCTCCGACCCACTACTTCCCGGTGTCCGAATACAAAGAGTGTCTTTATGCTGTACCGCGGGAATTACGAAGCCTTTGTTTTCAGCATCCCATCGTGACTATTACTTTTGTTTGCTCTTCATGTATTTATCACAGGATATTAAACCATTACTTATTAATGAACATTTTTATCTCGCCGGCTAACCCTTATTTATAATTCTCTCTGGTCTGAGAATCGTTGGGACTGACTCAGGCGCGGAAGTGATAGACGCGGTGGTTGGTTACCATGCGTTCATAGCAACCACACCGATCGAGTCTGGACCAGAACGCAGGATTTGCCAACATTCCCATTCATGACAACCAAGTGCCAGGCAGGAAAAACCTTGAACGAAACCGTACCAATGACGTTTATAAATGATATAATCTACATGTTCTTTTACGCTTTGTAATTGTATTGATTATTTTTTTCTCAAATATTTAATAAACGTTCACAAGCATGGAAGTCTGCCAAATTCACGTGCATGAATGGTTGGGAATATTTCCTTACGTCGACAATGAGATGGCTTTACGTAGAGCTGGCAAGTAATTTACACGAGAAGCACGGAAAAAGTTGAAATGAAACTATATGCTTTCACGGATTTTTTCATTACTAAAATTCAAAAATTTCGACAGAATTGTAGAAACTACACGAACTTAACATACAGGTCTTTCTTCTATTTACTTTCCAATTCTCAATGATTTTCAACATTCTTACCAGACAATTGTGAATATTACTTCTAATATTTACCGAGTTGTTCCTGACTAAATTATTATCAGAACAATTGGAAAAAATGCTATTTCTGATAACTTTGCATTGCTGAGCTTTGTATGGAACTTCAAATTGTTGATTGTCAACCTCTTGCTAATATGCTAATATTTTGTTGGTTTTAAATTTTAGAGCAATCTCCAGTAGTTTTGAACTCTTGTAAAAATTGTTTTTTCTGTTCTGTTTGGTAGGGTCTATTATACAAATAAAGCAAGTATGTCACATACTTGCACAGTATACTTGCACAGTTTGAGACAAAACCATACAACCACTGCAAGATTTAGCGATTTTTGTTTGTAGTTCAACTCAGAACTTGAATGCACCTCGTATCTTGTTTACTATTGGATCTAATTGCAACATCAAGTAAATTTAGTAGCTGGGCCAAGACTCTGAGTGGAAGTATTGAGAGTTTTTAACCTGCAGGGGAAAGTTAAAGACAGCATATTTTAGCCACATGGAATAGTAATTAATGAAACATTTCATTAATTGATAGCTTCAGTATCTGGAAGCTGAATTGGACAAGGATCCTTCACTCTTAGGTTTAAAACACGACCCCACCCCATGGCCATGTGCCTTGCTACCTTCATTAACTTGGAAAATTCAAGGTTAGTTAAATGTTTCCCTACCCAAAAAATACACCTTGACATCTCCCCCCCCACACACACACACACACACACACACACACACACGCGCGCCCTTTGAAAAAACAATCGATATGTTTTAATGCTTTTTGAAATAATTTCAAATAAAATAACAATCTCATAATTTTTTACATAAAAATATTCGTTATAAACTTCAATATAATCACAACAAATGCACAAAGCAAAGAAAACTTTTTTCGTATATTTTAATAGAACGCGTCTCGTAACTCACGGAGCGTCGAGCGCACTGGAGTAATCCTCCGTTTATAAGCGCCTTCTAGAGGCTGCTGTGTTGTCAAGTCAGGGAACAACCGACGTGTAGTGTGTTTGCTGGTGTTTGCGCTCGCGTTTCGAGCGCGCATTGCGTTATTTTCACATCGGCCAGAATTGGGAAAAAATAAGGAAGGGGGTTAGGGTTATGACTCTTCACAGGGGTTGGACTAGCCCCTGTGAAGCAGGCAAACTCGTTTTGTCGTAACAATAAAATACGTAACAATCGTATCGTACAATAACGTAAATCGAAACTTACAATAATATACAAACGTACCGTTGTCTCTACATCAACTCTGTTCAGGAAGTCTTTAAGATTTGAGTCTCAATGGTGGAAGATTTTTATCTGTCAGGACTTGAAACTAGGACTTTTAAAACAGTAGCTGCAGGGACAATGATAATGCATAACTATTGCTCAGTTAACAAATACATAACTAGGTAAATCATAGGAATATTTATTTCTTCAAAAACCTATGAGAAGTTTAGGCCTAGTGTTTTTCAGACAGATGTGAAAAAAAAAAAAAGGTTCATTTTCAAAATCCTGTGCCTGCTTGATCCTCGAATATTCAGTTTGGAAGAAATCATACAAAAACATTTTAGGCATTGTTGTTTACAAACGACTGTCATTGAAAAACAAACCAAAGGAAAAAGTGGTGCTACAGAACGCCACTGGCTTTCTTATACTAATAAAATTTCCTTATCTCTGATCTGGGCTGAAGAATCAGTTTTGCTGCACCCTCTTCTCAGCTGCAGTCTATTAGTTCCTAAAACACATTTTTCCATGTCATCTTCAATTTTTCAAATACGTAATAGCAGAATTGATTAATTGACTTTAAGAATATTACAGAAGTGTAAAATCTGGTGGTACATACACATTTTTACTCAAAACTGCCAATTTTTTTGAGAAACTCCATAAGAAGTATAGATCAATTTTACTCAAAAATGCAATATTGTATAAGAAATGCCCAAAACATTAATTTCAGAAACAAAAGAAATGTTAAAAAAAGAACTTTTGTTTAATTTTTGAAAAAACAACAGAATATATCAGTGACATTTTACGTCATATTATTAAGTCTATTTATCTGTAAAAATGTTTGAAGAGAAAATTTGAAGCTATTTTTGAGAAATTGGTGTATGTGCATTCCTGAAAATGCATATTTTGAGCACATTTCACTGAAAATTTTGAGAAACTTACATCATCATTTGAAGCACTTGTACACACAAGTGGAGGCAGTGTATATATTAACAATGTGAGAAAGATTTCAAAAATATTACATAGGTAAATTTTTTGAAAAAACAGGAGTACCATGAAATAATTTTGTCACTTCTTGTGTATTTAGCTCTATCCTTACAAAAAGTTTGGAGCCATTTCTGAGAAAATCTTGTTTTTACTGTTCTTAACTTCGCCCATATTTTGAAAATGTTGCAGGGCCTTTGTGTAAGGTACCTCTAAAATTTTAACAATGTTTCTCAAAATCACAGAGCTTCAGGTCAGGCCAAATTCACCAGCGAACATTCATTTTGGAAAAAAACCTACAGAGTCTAGGTGCTAGTGTTGCTCACAAATGGATAGGCAAACATATAGAAAAAAGTGGTTTTGAGAAAAAAGCACTTTTTCGATTTCAGGGAAGCCATGTTTTTGGGTTCATTGTTAGTGATTTTAGGTGTGAGAATTAGATCATTAATACCGCAAGTGTAGTGCATCTTTTTCATCAGGAGGCGGTGGTGATCTTCCCTCAATGGATGACCAGATCATGCGCTGACCTACCATTGACTAGTAAGGTTTTCCCCAATCAGATTTCTCCCACCAGTGAGGCACTGCCCCAGCCGGAACAAGCCCTAAGCCCCTGACCGGTCTCAAGGCATGTGTGGTAGTGTAGTGCATTTTAGTGTGTGTATGTAAGAGATGAGGATAGGACAAGGAAAAGGAAGGAAAGATCACATGTGGTCCGTGGTCCATTTGTTAGGGTAAGGCTTTAGCATTCACCAGGTGTTGATCAGAGAAACCATTGAAAACTAATGATCCGAGTTGCCGGCCGCTAGACTTCTCCTCCAGAGAGCGATTGATTTTGACCTAGCTGACAAGCTAGTGTCGAAAATCCTGCTGCAGCCAGTACTTGAACCTAGGAACTCCCAGTCAGAGGCACTGCGAAGACACCAGTTGATGCACTGAGACACCTCTCCATGTGTTTTTCCATTGAAATCTTTTTGCTGCAGCATTACTTAACTGTCTCAATACTACGCATTTATGCATAAGAGAGAGAAAGGTAAAAACAAGAACAACACTTTTCAGAATCAGAGTATCCAAAAACCTGTCTTTCTGTTGAAACCTCATAACTGATTTTCCAGTAATTACTTAGCAATTGTAGAATTAGCATTTTAAATTAAATAAAAATTGTATTTGGAGAACAACGCAATAGCATTTGATAGTATTATAAAAATTAATATTTAGCATTTTGTAACATTTGTTGAGAAAATTAAGAGAGGACAGATATAAAAAATAAATATTTTGATGCTTTTTACTTTTTCCCATTAAAATAAGGAAATTAATTTAATATATTGACATATGGAGATTTCAGAAACATAAAAACAGAAGTAATATGTGCGTCATAGGCTTAGGGTCTTCCTCTTCTTCCCATGACTTTCTCTATACAGCAAACTTCGCAAGCTGATACCCTTTGAGATAACCCTGAGCACTCAGGCTTTCAGAATAAGTTTCTTCAATTATTATTTTTTACTATGTCAGTTAAATCTTAATTATAAATTAATAATCATGGCCACTCACAAATTAATTGTTCTCAAACATTGATGTGTTGCTACACAAAGAGAGCCATAAAATGCGATTATTTTGAAGATTCATGATCATTTTGCATCTTGTAGATGATTTCGCATTTTATCATAGATTGAAAACCTTCAGAAATATACTGCACTGTCCGTTAAACACAATTACTAATTTTTCAGTGTTTGGAAAAATTTTGAATTTTTAGCAATTGCTAAAATCTACCCTCTCTATCCATAACATGTATCTATATAGAAGAAAGTAAAAGTAATATTCCTCAATAAACCCAAAAATACCCACTTGGTGTTTTTAAAAATATTTTTTTCCAATTCTGCAGTCATAGTTACTTTCTTGAAAATTAAAAAAACTTAATAATCTCTGTAAGAATTTTATCCAACTAATTTACATCTAGCAGACTACACAATAAAACAAACATATTAACATATCATCAAATGATTTAATACATTTCGAAATTAACTTCAATGGCTGTGAAATAATATCACAACAAATGAAGCTCAGGTACAAAAGTGATTGAGACAAATTTTTTTCAGATGCAGGCTGTCATTTGAATTACACCATTTCACATAAATCTTAAAACAGGATCTTCATTTTCATCACTATCAACTTCACCACCACCTTCCAATGAATTTTGATTGTCATCCTCATCTGAAGATGTAATATCTTCATTAAATTCTCGACGTATTCGAGCTTTGTATTTTGCATACACTTCACCATAATATTCAACATCTTGTGGATCTGTTTCAACTCCATATATCAATCCTTCATCATCACTTGAAGATAGATCATTGCCTAGAAATAAAAAATAATAAATTATTCAAGCTTATACTGTGATTTATTTACAGCTGCCGCTGACAGGTCATCAGCTGTTACGGTGTCATTCAATCGGAAGCTTACAGGTCACTAGTGATACTCAACGTTCCAATTGGATGTCTGTAACAGCTGATTTATATCAGAGGCAGCTCTAAATATATCCAAGTGTACTTTATCATCATCATCATCATCATCATCTAAATATTAAGCAAATTACCTAAGTTCATGTCATCCATTTGCAGGGCTAATCTCATGTCATCTTCATTAATACTGAAAAATTGAATACATTTTTTATATTTAATTTCAAACATGCAATATAACACAAATCCAGCTCAAAACAATGGTTGAAGAATACCTGTGATCAGAATCCGGATAATCATTTCGCCAGTTACTTTCATCATTTGAATCATCATTGTCATCATCTGCTACTGAATCTTCATCAGATGCCCCATTAGATCCAAAATGAAATGAAGAAACTGGCATAATATCAACCAAATGGTCCAGAGTAGTGAAATCACATTCATTGCTGGTTTGGCCATAATATATGTCGTAAACATAATGCTCATCCTCTGGTGACTAAAAAAAAAGATGGGTCATGAATTTCCTCTATTTAACTCACATTTAGAAGTCATTCTTAATATTTTTTCTAACACAAAAGAATTTTACATTATTGAATTAATTTTCTCTCCGTTGAGGTCTATCCTTCAAATATTTTAAAATTAAAATATATAAAGCAAGTATGACAAAAGCAAAGCGAAATAATTATTTTTTGAAAATTGTCACAATTGCACTCTAAAGTATTTTATGAGATTTAATTTGTTTTAAAGGATCCGTTCTGAGAGTAAAGCACTCAAAAGTACCCTCACACTAATAATATTGTGAACAACTTTGCACAAAACTATTTAAAGTTTTAATTTTGAAATATAGATACATTAAGAAACTAGTGGGCCTACTGATACTTTTTAGGGCTGTATTCATAGTCGATACTAATAAGATAAGTAAACGCTAAAGTAATAAGCATTTTCTTAAAATAAGTGGACCCTTATGACAGTTTCGTATTTATAGACCCCACTTATTTGAGAGTCAGACTCAGACAATATTTCGCTACATAATATTTGGCATAATTTCTTCGTTGGTTACTACATGAATCTAGAAGACCGTCAACCTTGTTTACAATTCTGGTGGTTCTTTTAAGTGCATGAATAGCATCTGGTTTCATTGACCATTAAAAGAAAAGAAATTATAAATTTCGTTTCATTGCTTCGAAGCGTTAAGTCCTCTGTGGATAAGTGCTTTTGGGAGAATTTTTTCAATTTTGAGTGCTGCACATATCAACTGAAAAAACTTATAAAATAAAATTTTCTTCATATGAAGCAATGTGATTATAATTGTAAGCTAACTCATAAAACATGGTCCTTGTTGGATAACCTACAAAACACTCAACTGAAATCAATAAATTATGTAACTGAAATGATGTTGCATAAAATCTGTATGCTATTAGCATTTTTAGGACTGGTGGTAATGGTTATTCTCTATTGCTCAAGCCCATGTAGTGGGTGAGCAACAGAGACACTCATGTTTATAACTGTATCCTTCTCAAAACGATATCTCTTCTTAAATTCTTGTTGCCTATGCATTTCCAAAGGATTTTCCATTTCTTTAAAATATCACTTTAGTATACAATCCTCCGTATTGATTTCAATAACACCAAAAAATCATAAAAATCGTAGGTGTTATTCGACAGTGAAAAATAAGGGTACAGATACGCCTACTTAGAAGAACAAATGAATGCTTAAGCAAACAGGTGAGGGCTGTGAATTGAAAATGCGAGTAAGTAAAAACTTAAGTGTTCCTTAAAAATAAGCATCAACTTCGAATACGGCCCTTAGAATTACAAAACACAATTAAAAAGCCAATTTTCATTTTCAGAATCTATTTTTGATGTCTTTAACAGGAATATTGGTGCTCAAAAACCCCATGTTTAGTACGAAAATCTGAATTTAAATGCCCAAGACTATCTGAAGTCTAAAAATTTCATATCAAGAACTAATGCACTGACTTCAGCTTTCAAAGAATTATGTGAAGGCTAGTGTCAACACTACGACAAGATCTACTTTGAGAATGGTATCTCAGCACACTGAAGGTGAACCTAAATAATTACCCGTTTTTTCCTGTGAATAACAAATTCCCTGACAATTCCCAATTTCACAGGCTCCTCACTACCTTAATTTTAACTGCTTCATATACTCTTTCTTACACAGGTCAAAATTTTCCCATAATGATAGATTAATCTTGTGAAACTTACTTCTTTGTTATTTTCTTGCATATTTTGTTCAGAACTTTCAATATCAAAAATTATAACATCTCTCTTCTCATCATCTTCTTTTTCTGGATCTTCTACTTCCACATGTCTGAAGCAATTTACCACCTGCAAACAGGCATTCAATGTGTCATGGAAATTTCAAATTATATATTTGATAACGGCATATAAAAGAACAATCTGGCATTGCTAGCCAAATTGCTTAATTATGCTTTGTGAAGTCACGGAGCAGTTTAAGTAATTCAACACCCCCATGAATTTTAGAAGGGTGACCATTTGTGAATCCTAGTAACTAATGGCTCAAGGCCAAAGGAATAGAACTTTTTGGGTTTCAGCTTAATTTCTACTATGAAGACCATTTCAAACCTTCCTTTCAGAAAAATTTCCCCCTTCTTTTACGATGTGCCTTTTACTATAGATCTTCATTTCTATAAGGTCTACTTACTTTGAATCTACTGTTTTCTGAATTTTTTTTTCTCTGTTCACGAATTTTTTTGGAGATATCAACTTTATGATTTAGCCTGGCTTTCCAAATATCTTCTCTTTCATCGACAGGTAAAAGAACAGATAAATCATTTTCCTGCAAAAATTCAAACAATTCATTAGCCTTTTGCAAGTTTTAGTGCAACGAGACCTTAACCTCAAGATGAAACATTACTTGAGCCTTAACAGTCGTAGAGAACTTTAAAATGGTTGCAAAACTATCCTTGTCTTCAGAAATTTCTTCTAATTTTTTTCTTCGTTTACATGCAAAAACCAGTGCCTCAAGTGGTTCTTCGTTGCAGCGGCGTTTAACACGAAGTACAGTGGCCATTTCCAATCAACTCAAAAGTAACTTAAATTTATTGGAAACTATTGCCTCACTATACAATAGCAATATCACGTTCTGTCAAACGTATGTATCTAGTTTGCTCTGGTTTGCTCAAGTCGTATCAGCAGTACGGGCCATTCAACAACCACAAGTGGTTCTTTGTGGTTCACTACACTAGTTCACCACCGTTCACGAACGTTCACTACGACGACTACGACCTTATCCACCTCGACCAACACCAACCAACACAGCCGTATTAAATGTATATATTTATTAATGCACGTCCTTCCCTACTTCTTCAATACTCTGACTCTGTTCACGGTGATAGACGGCGATGGAGCATGGAAAAAATGGAATTACTACTTCCTCCATGGACTGAGAATCTGGCCTGGTTAGGCCAATGACTAATAGGCATGGAATAAGTATGCAAATGCCATCGGAAATTGTTTGGTCTAAAGCTTTCTAGAAAGCGTTAATTGGGTAAATAACAAATGCATACCAACAATGAAGCACGCAAATTTGAAAAGCACTCGCGTAAAATAAATGAACGAATGTGTATTTCGGGGAAGCAAGATCATAGCGTGAGAGAAGAAAGAATACTCTACGAGAGAAAAAAAAAAGCAGAGTTTAATGAACAATATACTCTCAGCAACAACAACAACCGTAGAACGAGAAAGGAACAACTGAAAAGAGAATTTATCAGATATGAAACCTAAAGAACACGAAAGTAAACATAAAGAACCTGAAAGTGAAACGAAGAAACAAAGAAATCCTAGTCCTGATCAGCCACCTCCAGACATCAGTATCTTAACTCATTCGTTAACGGGGAAAATGTTAGTTACTAAGGATCGTAAACAACAGTTAGCGGATGATGCATTTAAAAATTCAAGATTCATTTTATTATACTTTGGAGCAACTAACTGTAAGGGATGGACTTCCATTTTGCAAAATTTTGTGAGGGTATGTATTAGTAAGTTAAGGCTGTACTAATGCTTTTGGATAGTCGCTAATGAGACCAGTTTCATAAGGGAAGGCCCAAGAAAAATATTTTCTGCTGCATAACTGTTTCTACACAATTAGGGACTAAATCGAATATCGAAAAAGAAATTAATATTAATTTTAACGATGGTATTTAATACATTATTTACCATTTCGACTGTATAATTTTTAACACCCTGTAAAAAATGTTGTATCTCAGCTTCTGGGTCAATGCTTCCCCGATCCATCTCGATCAGATTTCTCGTCCAGTTTCCCTGATCACTTGAGCAAATCCTGAGATGGCCTTGTTTTGCTTCTGAGCATAAAAGTAATTTCAGGTTTGCTATTTGCAAACCTTTCTTCAGTGTTCGAGGTTTTACCTTAATTTGGGGACTTTATTAACCTTGATTGTTATACTAGGGTATCGTTTAGAAGCATATTTAAGGGAGGGGTTGTTGGGATATTCGACTATTATACTTCTACCAAGATGTTCAGTATGTTCCATGCCAATAGTAGTTAACTGATCGACGAAAGTGAATAAACGAAATTTTAATTTCTACTACATAAATACTTTAACTTAATAAATAAAGACGGAACCATCAAACAATTTTACAATCTCTTCTCACAATGAATCACCTTCAACACTTAAGTCTTCGAAACAAAAATCTTGTAATTGTAAGTCAAAAGCTATATTTTCAACGTGTATAAAATTACAATTTAACGTAACTATTTGTAGCTTCGTTTATCTAAAGTCAAAGTTTACGAAACAGAGATCAGTTGGAAAACCGAGATCGTGGAAGTGTCCCTGTACACTTCCCTGACCCACTATTACCAATAATGATTAGATTCATAATGAAACGTGTTCACCAAAGTAGTCCAACCCATTAACTCGGCCTTATTCCGCGTTTGATAATGCTTTAATCTCATAGTGTAATAAGATTATGGTATTTATTTCTAAATAACCCATATGATAATTCTGTTTGTGTCAGAAATTATATTCCGGAAGATTTTGAAATATAATAATTTTCCTCTTCTTTACAGTTGTTAATAGATATTTATAATACGAGTGGTAACGGTAAAATTTTATTTTGCTAGTAGGAAAGGTTGCGACACGAGGCCGATAGGCCGTGTGGCGTAATCCTATGAGCATCCAACGAGGATCACTTAATAGAACAAAGTCAATAGTAGTTGATGCGGACAGAACAAAGTTTTTGTGTTGCTTTCATAGATTTATCTTTAGAACCCTAGAGCGTCTCATTTTTAGCCCTAATGCTAACTAGTGGTGCTCAACAGCACATACTTTCTCGAATTATTTGCTAACAGCTCCGTAGGCCAGTATAGGCATCGCTTAAATAGTTCCCTTACGAAATTAGAAGTATTTAAATTTCCCCTTCCTCCCCAATAACACGCACTTGCTTGACCCCCCTTCCCTAATTACGTAGGGTAATAATTGCGAGAAGACCTCCCTTATTTACAATAAGTAACTAGTGGTACTACAGTATGGCACAGATTTTCCCGTATTATTTTTATATTTCCTTTAGTATTAGCTAGCTATACAAACTTGCCAGATATCAATGCGCTACTGTAAATTCGAAAATTGCTCTTTTTCACAGAAAATTTTTGAGTTTTCGAAAATCTTCTTTTGAAATACTTTAATTCGCAAATATAATAGTTTTTAGAAATTGCTGGAAATGTTCATATCAACGGTATCTTTCGAAAAATTACATTTCTTACAAAACAATATCCCTAAATGAACATTATCTCATATTAAAGAGTGCCATTAGCACCATCTGACCGAACATTTTAAAGAAGAATTTGGTGCCGTTTTTGAGAAAATGGCGTTTAGTCTTTCTGAAAAAACGGAATTTTGAGCTATTTTTCACAGAAAAATGTTTAGTTTTTGAGAAACTTTATATGCCATTATTTAAATTACATGTACACGTAAATACAATAATGTGAACATATTGCTGCTAGTATAATTAGTAAGGAGGTAAGAGAGAAGTAAAAAATACATTTTTGTTATTACAAACAACAACAACAAAGAATAGAGTAATATGGCGTTTATGTCATCTTATAGAGTGAATTTAACACTATCCCTATCAAAAGAAAAGATTTGGGGTAGTTTCTGAGAAAATCTTGTTTTTGTAATTTTTTAAAAATTACTTATATTGCTCGTAATATTGCGCAAAAACTATTATAAAAAATGTACATGACCTTAATAAAAGAACTAACTAAGGAGAACAAATTTTATTTGAAGAAAAATGCTCTATCTTCAATTTTGTAGTTGTAGGAAAACGGCAAAAAAATTCAAACTTTTGAAATTTTCAAAAATTTAGAATTAACAGGGAAACTCGGACCTATAACACATTTATAGGTGTATTTTACTCTATTCTTTAAACAAATTTAAAGAAAACCTTTGGAGCCGTTTTCGAGAAAATTTTGAAAATGTTGCAGGGGCTTCACGTAAAGTATTCCCAAATTTTAAAGAAAGTTTTTCAAAATCTCAAAGCTTCGATTCGAGCCAAATGGATACGGGTTTCTTCAATATGAAAAACAAATCATCGCATGGTTTAGGAGCTAGTGGTGTTCACAGACGGACAAACAGAGGGATTGTCAGACAGAAGGACGGACATACAGACAGACGGACATTTTGAAAATAACCACTTTTTCGGTATCTGGGGACCCTAAATCGTGTATTTCCCTTGAAATTTCAAAATCGATTTTCCGCAGCATTACATACATTTCCCTATACTACTTATATTACTCCGTATATTCATACGTATACGGGAAAGTAAAAATAAATTATATAGCAGTAACGTGTTGTATTAATTTTGTGTCCAAATGTGCAACAATTAAATTCGGAATCGGTTGGCGATGCGGATTGCACCCCACAATAGGATTGGGGACACTGTATTTTCATTTAAAGATGTTATTTGCACTGTAATTGTAGGAAGAACAAATTTTGAATTTATTAAACTTTCAAAAATTTAGATGTTTCAACGAAACTGACCTGTGTCGTTTTTTAAGCGTCCTTTACGCTATCTGAGGGCTAAGGTTAATAAAAAAATGGAGCAAATTTTGAGGAAAATTGGAAACTGTCCTTGAGGCTTCATGTAAAGTATCCCCCCAAAAATCGCTTTCAAATTCAGAAGCAGCGACATCTTCCCGATCGGCTGAGAAATATCAATTTTGATGAAAATCCTCCCTACGATTTAGACGCTAGAATTGTGTACAGACAGACGGACAGATGTTTTGCCGTCAACCAATTTTTCGTTATCAATTAATCCACAAGATTATTACACAACGTACTAGAAGAAGTAATGCACTACATAGTGTAAGAAGACGAATTATCCTGCTTTTCGCTTAAGGGAGCTACAATACGTACTTTTTTTTTTCTCACGGAAAGTTATAGTTTCTCTTTACAGCATTACTTAACTTCCTCTATACCATGTATGCAGTCTGCGACAAAGTTACAACATCCAAATAATAACTTTCTTAAAAAAATTTCTGACGAGTTCCACATATGACAAAAAATACATATCACAAATTCAGTAAATGCGAAGGGTGATCCTTATTACAGGATATAATAATTCAAATAGTATATTCTAATAAGAAAATAAAACATTAACATACGTTTTTCGCTCATACTTTTATTATCAACAGTTTTGCTTTAGTAACTATGTAGTTTATTACGCCAATACGTCAATGTACTGCAAGTGAAATTTTCTTATTTTAGATTGCTGCGGAAAAAGGAGTGATCCTGGATGTTCTTTTCATTTCTTTCGATGATACGGAGGAAGAATTTTGGAGTTATTTTATTAACGAACACGGCAATTGGTGGGCAGTTCCGTATCGAAGTGAATTATCAGTGTGAGCTTCTAAATATTTTGAGATGTAAGATATATCAAATGTCCTAAGACGTAACAAAATGTATGCACACTTCATTAGTAAATAACTTCTTTTGAAACTTTAAAAACCCATTACCCGACCTTATCAAAATGTGAAGCCAAATAAAAATGGAATTTCCGTTATATCACATAATACTATAATACTCTTAAGTACGTTAAGTACCAAATAAAATCTTTTCTGCTGCGTAACTGTTTCTATACATTTAGAGACTGTACTAAGCTTCAAAAAGGAAAAGTAATAATTAATTTTAAGAATGATATTTAAAGTATTATTAATTATTATTATTTTATTATTATTATTATTATTATTCGTAATAAAAACCCCTTCAATGAACTTTTTGAATTTGCAATAAACAAGTGCGAGAACATGCGATGAACAAGTCAGGAAGATTTGGGGTGGGGAACATTTAGAGGAATTTGTTGGTATGGTATCACAAAAGTTCAATTACATTTTTTGATTTGCATTTTTCAACTTTTTGACCCTGCGGGATCTTTAA